GATAATGAAGATGTGGGTTTTTTTTATATAATGGAGTACTATTCTGCTATAAAGAAGGATACTCTTGAGACAATTCTAGCTAAATGGAGGCACATTGAGGCCATACTCTTCAGTGAAATAAATTGGACATACATGTGTAAAAACCACATTGTTTCTCTGGTGTGAGAAATGGAAAGTGTAAATAAGGACCAAAATGTATAATAGGTATTGTGAAATAGGAAGAAAATGTTCAAATGGAAAGGGGAACTAGGGAAGGGGGAGGGAGGAAAAGAAGGAAGAAAAAATTAAAAAATGATGACGAAAGAAGGAAAAAATGGAAACAAAGCTTTTGTAAAGAAGGAGGGGGAGGAGGGGTTTAAGGGAAGGGTGGGGAATGGGGAAAAAAAGAATCAAGTTACATCGTGTACAAATTCCCTATAATGAATGTAATCATCATATATACCTAAAATGTACCAATCAACTTAATTAAAACCAAAAAACTTACATAGTGGTGCATGTATTCATTTGCCTCATTCATCAGATCTGGTGCCAGGAGGCTTCTGGTTCCTTCCCAAAGTCAAAATGACCATGAAAGATAACTGTTTTGAATAGATTCAGGTCATTAAGGCAGCCACGACACCACAACTAAAGACAAGCAAGAAGGAGGGCTTCCAAGACTGCTTCAAAGGCGGCAACACGATGGAATACGTGTAAATGTGCGTGCTTGCGTGTGAGGGTAGGGACGGGCAGGGGAGGGGTGTTTTGAGTGGGATCAATGACAGTGTGTCTTTTACTGTCATCAATTTTTTAAAACATTAAACATTTTTAAGCCTATCTCATAGGATTTCATACATTTTAGGGTGAGCGAAGCTAATCTGCAGGGCTGGAACATAGATCTGAAGTTCCCTGAGGTGTTACAGAACAGGGCAAGAGATGGTCTACAGAGGAGCATGAAGGGCTGACTGCAGTAGTAGATTGACTGTGTGATAGTTACAAGAGTACAGGAAGTGAAAACTCATCAAACTGTACATGTAAAATTAGTGTGTTGTGTTTATGTAAAGTGCACTTAAAGAGAAAACTAAAAAGATGAGGGCTGTGGTTTGACTTCTGCTCACTGGTCTGTATGTTTAGAAATGAACACTGCGGACAAACCAAGTCCATATTCCTCCATGGCAGCAAGTGTGCAGAGTTGCACAGCTGCCCGGCCGTTACCTGGGTCAGATAGATTAGTGTCCCAAAGTGCCACTTTGCCTTTTCTGTTCTTTTAAGTAACGGAGGAGATTCAATTTACTATTGAATGCTCACTATGTGGTGAGCTCTGTTCCAGGGCATGACAATCCAGAAGGGAATGAACCAGACAAAAATCTCTAACCTTATAGTGGATTGTAAATATCCATCTACGTTTTCATCAAAAATTAGGGAGAGAGTGTCAGACCAAGAATACTATATATTTTAGGGGAAATGGGAGAAGGTATGTTTCTTTGTGTAAGTAAGAAACACCCCGACAGGTGTAATAGACAAAATATGGCTGTGTCAAAATTATCATCCCTGCTTCACCTGCTTGCTTCACCTGACAGATGAGATCCTTTTTGCTTTTGTGATTCAGTAAATTCATGAATGAGATTACCTTAATGTTTCAGTAAACACCATGAAGCAGAGAGTCTAGCACCGGCCAATTAGGTTTTCCTACCTCTATCCAAACCATCCTTACCTTAGCTCTAGATTTTTCCATTTAACCAAGATCTTGGGATGCATCTTGGTCTGAAATAAGCATCTCTTTTGACAGTCTTCTGTGTTGACAGCTCCTTCTATAATAGCCCGGATCCTGCTTATTGCTGGCTGAGAGTCACTGCACTGATCTGTGCGGTAGACGTATGACCCGTGCTTGAGAAATACTGTGGGTGGTGTCTCACCTTCATCTTCTGACCTAGTAATTTACACCTGTATTTGGTTAATCACACAGTGACAGTGGTGAACATTTTTGTAATGACTTCAATTTTGGCTTCAATTTTGAATTCGTAATTAAATCCTTTTCACCTAATTAAATCCTTTTATAGACATAGACCATTTTCATAATGTGCTTCTGTGTTAGGCATAGTAATTCATTGCCTTGCTTATAGATTTATCATGGTCATAGGCTTGGAGAATCTGGCCTAGCTTTCCTCAATCAGTTGTGCTTGTGGGAGAGTGTGGTAGGTGACCCATTTCATCCATCCTGGCAGGAAAAGTCATCTTGCTTAACTACACTGCTTCCATCTGTTGCTGCTCTGCTCCCATCTGGTGGCAGTTATCTCAAATTGCAGCACCGTCAACCTTCAAAAAAAAAACCTATTTTTTTGTGGTGCCAGGATCACAAACTGAAATGCCATTAACACATGTCATGTACAAATTCTGGGTGAGGGCAATAGTCCATCAAATCCTCTTTAAGCAAGAAAGGCAAAAACTGTGATAATCAGTATATGAGCTAATAATACTTGTGTGTATATTTTGGAGTTTATGTGCAAGTCGTCTTTTGACTTCGTGGGACAAGTCATCTTTTAATTTCTGTGTCACTTCGGTATAGTGAAGGGGTTGCTTATTTCAAATAAAGGAGATACCTAGTCCCACTTTTTGTTCTGTAGCACTGTCAGATACCTTATTGTCTAAATGGGTATTACATGGGTCTTCTCCACAATAGGTGAACAGGAAGAACATTTTTTGGATAGTCAGAATGGCATGGTTCCAGGTTCTGCCCTTAACTAGCCATGGAACTCCTAAGCCTCACTTGGTTTTTCTCCCCCAAAAACAAAATTCTTGGACTTAATGCTCTGTAGGGCTTAATGCTACTGATGCAAAGCCTATATAGTTCTATGAATTTTTTAAACATTCAGAATATCCATAAAATGAGACTCATTTGGACTATATATGAAATAGTTATGAGTATAAATAGAAATTTCACAGTTTGTACTACCACATGCCTCGATTCTAAATAATTGCAGAATACATCAATGATTTTAATAGCTTTTTGGAAAAATAAAAAAGACTAATACCATCGCATTAAATCTACATTTTTATTATAAGACAAATTCTGGTACCCTAAATTTAAATGTAAAAAGATACGTATCTTAGAATTTAGAAAGTGTGTATGTGTAAAAGAGTGGAGGGAGAAACATCTTAAATTTCAATGCTAGGTAGTTTAACTAAATACCCAAAATTCTGGAATTAAAATAAATAATGGAGCAGCTTAATGTATTATAAGAAAGTGGAAGAGATTAGAGATTAGAAACACAGCAAAGGTTGGATGGTAAATTTTTATGTGAGTACTGTAGAAGAACATAGTGACATAGAAAATATACAGAAATGCAGTCTCTGCTAAATCATTCTCACAGTGCACATTTGGGAGATTTGAATTCATTAATTTTGTTTTTACAGAACCATGTATGTATTTTATGAAAACATGGAACAATGCTTTGTGATTAAGGCTGTGTTTGGTTGTAGGGACTAGAATCTTACTCAACTTGCAAAAGTGTTAATTACTGTAATGATACAACAGGAAATACCATAGACAATCAACAGACAGCTTCTGATGTGCCATTGAGGGTCAGGGGAATTAGAACCAATTCTCAAGCGTTACTTCCTAGAGGCTGGAGATTTCCATAATGGCTGCTTATTGATCTATGCCAGTTTTGCAGGTGGCTGGTAGCTCCAGTATTACATTATAACCTCAATTCAAGTTCTTGTACTGATGACTTCCTTCTGTGTTCACTTCTGTCTGACTAGTGACCATCTGTGTACATAGCCTAGCCTAGCAATGTTTTTTTGCTGTACAGGGTCAGTGGACAGGATGTGCAAGTTAAGTGATGTGGTGTGCAAGGCAGGCAGATGGAATGAGTGGTCAGTGTAGTTGTGCTTGTTCCAAAGCCCTCAACTTTACCAGCTTTTCTGTGCTTTGTCTGTCTAATCCTCTTTACAAGGTCATTGAACACCTCAGACTATGCTTTGGAAGTGAGATTGAAGCTAGGAGTTCTAACAGTTTGTGTAACTCTAGAGGTTAACAAATAACAGAGCATTTGCAAATTCCTGTTAGAGTTGTATAAATTTCTGTTAATGAATTGTCAAGTGAGGGTACTGCAGATTTTAAAATGTATACCCAATAATTGAATCCTAAAGTCTGCTAGGTAGAGAGCATTCTCATACTCTCATACTACATTTTTTTTTTTTTGCCTTTTTGAGATAGCGTCTCACTATGCAGTTCAGGCTGGCCTTGAGCTCACATTGTAGCCCAGGCTGGTCTTGAACTCGCAACAATCCTCCTGCCTCAGCCTCCCAAGTGCTGGGATTACAGGTGTGTGCCACCATGCCCGGCCGGATATTACATTTTGTGTCTTCTTCATAGCCCACAGAATAGGGAGAGCAGGAGGCCTTCAAGGTTTATTGATTTGAACTGACAGGTGAAGGGAGGAAGGGTGAGAATACAGGAGATTCTTGAAATGTTGACTGTTTATAATAGCAATTCCTAAAATAATTTTCTAGCCTCTCTGATATGAGAGAAAGAGTCCTGGACTTAAGTTAAAAACAAAGCAAAACAAAACAAACAAAACCTTGGTTTAAATCGAATCTCTTTTGAGCCTTTGCTTCCTTCAGCTAGTTATTGTTTTACTGGGAACATAACTCCACCCTCACAGGACTGTGCTGCAAATTTAACAAGAGTGTAGAATGCCTAGAACAGCAGTTGGAATGTAGCTAGATCATTTTGCTTCTTCCATTCATTCATCTGTTTACCTGGGGGTTCTTTGAAAGATAATCACTGTTCTTTCTTGATTCTTGGATGACTGTTTAGGAACGTTTCTCTCACTCTTGCACCTAGTCCTGTAAGTCGTATCTTGTGAGTTCCAGGAACCTAAGAATGTCTTTGGCCAGGCCAGCCTTAAGGACTGGCTGACAGTGGCATCAATACCATTAACAGTGACATCAGCAACCTGCAGCCACCATGATTTTTTGAATTTGACTGAAAAGAGCTTATGTGTGTGCTTCTCTCACAGGTGGATTTGCTATAGTGTTTCTGGTGAGGACAAGCAATGGGATGAAATGTGCCTTGAAACGCATGTTTGTCAACAATGAGCATGATCTCCAGGTGTGCAAGAGGGAAATCCAGATCATGGTAAGGCTGCCGCTTGAACCTTGACTCTTTACTGGAAATGGAAATAAAGACTGCCCTGGCAGAAGAAAGCCAGCGCGGGGGTGGGAGGTGCCCTCCCCTGAGATGGCAGTGAGGCCTTTGGCCAGATGGGAGTAAACAACAGGGAGGGGGGATATTCCTGCCTTGATCACTCTCAGCTGGAGGCCGAGGAGGAACAAGCACTTTGAGACAGTGGACCAAGTTTTAGAGAAATAATTTGGGACATTGGGAAAAACTTATTTAACAACTTAGTTTTTAGCAATTAATTGTAGTATATAAACCGGAAGCCCTAACTTCCCAAGGAGCCTCCTTGTGTGTGTGTGTGTGTGTGTACTGGGAATCGAACTCAGGACCTTGCGCTTGCCAGACAGGTGCTTGTGCCACTGAGCTATATCCCCGGCCAAGGAGCCTCCTTTTGTAGCCTTGTCTTCTTTCAGTTACCAGTCCTTTCTCCCAGGCTTCAACCCTTCTGAGCTCACTAGCATTTCGTGAACATATCCTTGTACAACTTTATATTCTGTGCATGCAGTTTCTGTGTGGGATGCTTTCTGCCCGTTTAGGCCAAAATCTAGGAACTGTGCATACAATTCCATTTGTAAGAATCTGAAGAACAGTTAAGATTGATCGTTGGCAATAAAATCAGAAAGTGGCTTTCTGGCTTGGGAAATTGGCCAGAAAGGGGCATATGGGAACTTTCTGGGCTGTGGAAATGTGTTGTTTTAGGTAACAGTCACACAAGGTATACAGTCATCAGAACTCAATGGAACACATTAAAATCTGTGTGTTATATATATGTTGATTATATACACATTGTATATGTTGATTATATATACACATATGTGTTAATTACATCCACATAGTGTATGTGTTAATTATATATTATATGTTAATTATATACATACAATTAATTGCATATGTTAATTGTATATCCTTTTTTAAGACTGATCTTCAAGATTCATATTTGTATTGTGCTCAAAGAAAGAGTCCCTGTGCCTTAGCAATACACGCTGAAATATTTCTAGGTAAATTAATGGAATGTCTTGAAGACTAAGTGGATGTAGAAGAGAAGCAAGACTGGGCTGTGTTGATCAGAGCACAGTGGTGACTGTGGGAGTTTTCTGGCTGTGTGAGAGTATGTGTAATAAAAAATGTTGAATAAGTAGTCTTTCATGCCTTTGTGTTTCTGTAGTATTTTTGTTCATATTGATTATATTGTTTAGTGTATTAAGTTTTAAGTAGTCCTCCCATTGGAAAATCAGTTATTTATAATCAGAAACTTTATACTCTCCCATACTGCTTGACATTTAGTAAATGGGTTAATAAACTTTGGATGAAATGAATGCATGAACAGTGGCAATAGCAAATACATATGTTTACTTAAAAGTGATGATTTCTTTGTGCCCCTTATTTTGATGCTTTTATAAAGAGCAAAAGGAGATCTAAAAGTAAGGTGGTGGTATCCTTGTTGTATTCCACCAGGCTTACCCGCTTCCTTCCCCTTATGAGCTCACCTTTTCAGTGGCTGGTGAGAGTAACTAATACTATACTTGGGCTACTGAAAGAGCAACTCAGGATAATAGAGAACCTGGTGTACTATGATTTCTAGAAAGCTGACACTATCTGGGGAGGAACTGTTACCACTGTAAATTCAATCAACCAACTCCCAAGGCTCAAGACCAGGCATATCTGCTTGCAAGGTGCCAGTGTCTTCCTACTCCCCTGACACATGGCTGCAAGCTACAGTCTCCTCCAGAACGCAGCAGAGGGGACATGCCCCATTCATAGTATGGAGGCATTATTACCCCGACACCAAGACAGATCTAACACAGAAGGGAGGCAAAGGGAATACTGTACCTCGCTGCACACACCCCGTGGGTCTTCTGGGTCTTTCTTATCACTCCTCACTCCTTGGTCCACTCTTGCTCAGCACTCACACTAACTTTACTTCTGCTACTTATGGCTGGAATGCCCTCATTCATTTTCTTGTGTTAGAAATGCAAGTCTAGTCTTTCACTTTCTTCCGTTCACTTAGAAACAGTGGGAGGGCTTACTTTGTACTAGGCAGTTACTACAGTTGAGGCGCTGAAGAAGCACAGGTTCAAAGACGTTCACAAATTAGTGGGCCTGAGTAGGAGTTAAGCTACATGGGCTCAAGTTCTGGCCCAGTTACGTATCAGCTGTGAAAGTTTTGTTTTATTTTGCTTTAATTTACTTCATGGTTTTTAGGGCTTACATAATCAAATAATTGAACTGAGCTTGTTAAAAATAGTCAAGCAGCCCCGAGAGTGCCCTCCTAGGCCATTTAAGGGTTCCAGAGGCAAACGCTTAGTTGATTCTTTTGATAAGTTCCTGAGTAACATACTAATACTGCTTGTTGTTGCATTTTATCCCCTTGTAAGTAGTATCTGCTATGGGAACTAAGATGTAGCTCACTTTCCTCCCCTGCGTAGCACTCTCCCTAAATGCGTGCAGTATTCTCATCCCACTTTCTTCCAAAATATCAGTAAACTTTGACCATGCATTAGTTGTGTTAATATTAGTTTTTATGTTATTCTGTAAGAACTATTCTTGCTGAATATTCTAGTGGACAATGATTAATATGCCTTATTCATTTAACTCTTTCACTAGAATTAATAATTTTTTTTTCTTCTTTTGGTCTTAGTGTTCCCTGTACTTTTCAACAATGTAACCCCTAAATCTAAACTATGTGAGTTACTTTTTGAATCTTCAGCTACATTTAGTATTTTCTGTTTTGCCATCTTGAAGGTTTCCCCTTGGTCTTCTAACTTGTTGCGGTCTGGACTGGCTGCTTTCTAGGACTAACTTAATTGGACCTGCAGTGGTAGCAAACCTATGGCACGCGTGCCACGGCAGCCTGTTTGTATCATTGAAAGCTCTACAAGGTTTGCCATTGCTGTGACCTTAGCATTCCCTTAGGCTCCCTTTTTTGTTAGATCTGGTCTGGTATCAAGATAATAATGTCTCTATATTATGAAATGAGGAGTATCCCCTCTTCCGGGTTCTGGAAGAGACTGTGTACAATTGGTGTTGATTCCTCTTTAAGCTTTTGGTAGAATTCTCCATGTGGGCCTTGGAATTTCTCCTTCAGGAGTTTTAAATTTCAAATTTAGTCTCCTTAATTGTTATAGTACTGTTGACCTTTTACTTCAGATGAGTAAATTGTGGTATTTTGTGTGTTTGAGGAATTCATCCATTCAGGTTAAGTTTGTGTTTTTAGAAGTTGTTTTTAGTTTCCTACCAGTTTTTATTTGAAATTCTATGTGTCTTTAACCCCTCCAAATTCAGACTTCTCTCAGGAGCCATATCCAATCCCCATCTCTCATAGATTATAAGAATTGTGAAGGGAATTGGAAGATGTGATGTTGTTTCTAACATGCACAGACTTGTGTGCTGACATTCAGAGGTGAAGAATTCTCTCTGTACTGACAGTGGAGGAAAGATGGGCATGCTACACACAAATGCAAGAACAGTGGTTTCTGTAGAGTGGCTTCACATTTTATTTTGGTAAATGCTATCTGCTGGAGTCTGGTGTGTGTCCTTTGATACATCTAGGATTTGTGCTCTGATAGAACCTAAGAGATTCTGATTTCCGATGAACAGTTGGAAGTGGGACTTCTGACCTGTTTTCCTGAAGGCAGGAAAAGATAATAATTATCCTCAGACTTAAAAGGGGAAGAACAGAGGTAGGAAAGATCTAAAACTTACGTTGTGTTAAGCATTGTTCTATGTTTGTGTTAAGCATTGTTCTGTTATGCATTGTTCATATGGGCCATCTCCTGGCCCATATGAATTGCATCCTCATTGAGCTTAGTGATGAAGACACTGAATGGCCCCTGCTGTTTGAAGACTTGCTTAGAACAGAAGGGAGATCAGACAATTGAAGACGAGCAAATGTTTTTATATTCCAAAAAGGGAAGATGGTAGATTCTGTACAGAAAGGAGCTCCTCAGGTTTTATATGATGCAAGAACCTGGAGCAGATTATTTTTAAAGATTCTTTGATACTACCTTTAGTGTAAGGAAAGTTGGTGTGAGTGTACCTAATACATATTGTTTGAATTTGATTTGCTTGGAAGAAAACGTTGGAGGGAGGGAGGGAGAAAGGGAGGGTGAGAGGGTGAGAGAGAAAGAGAGAGAGAGAGAGAAGTGGTTTTCTAAGGGGATGGGGACAGAAGTAGGAAGTAACTGTTAACATTTTGTATGTTAATATACAACTCATTGAACAAAATAAACTTAAACTTTAAGCTATGTTTTAGTTACCTGGGTGAGTAAGCAGGGCTCCAATGAGCCTTGAAGTTAAATAAGTAAAACCATGTCACATAAAACATTATACTGTATCTTGATTTCGGAACCTTTGGGATGGGGGTATATGCAGTTAATCTAGTGTCTGGGGATTTTTGCCAAGTTCTTGAGAAGGACACTCATCCATCTGTGGGCAAGATGGAGGATCTAGGCTGGCTGCTGCCACAGGTAGATATAACTGCTCCTGGTTATCAAGATTTCTGATCAATAGCTTAACATTAACATGGAGGCAATTTTCTAAGAAAAAAGCGCCATAGCTTACCACTAGTTTAATGATATTTTATATTTAATAAATAACTTGGTTAAAGGAAAAGAAAGGCATACTTAACAATTAGATATTTAATATAAACTTGGAAGATGTAACGACTACGTCGGGTGATAGAATGATGCTTATAGATTTTGGAGCAATGGACTGAATCTAATGAGATGGAATAACAGGGTAAGGTCATATACTTGCGTTTTTGTCTTATTTTAATCAGCTTCATGAGTATAGTTCAGGGGAGGCAAGATTAAAAGCAGCATGAATGGAAAAAGGCGTGTAAGTGGTCAGTTAACTCAGTATGGATGTACAGTGTAATGTGGCTGCCAAAGAAAAAAGAATAATTTTTAGCTACATTAATAAAATTATAGAAGGTAGTAGTACTGGTTTACTCTGCATGAATTAGACCAGGCATGAAGTATTTCATTCATTTCTTGGGGCCATTCATAGCAGCTAAGATAGTCTTTAAAATCCTTTTAAAAATTGGATATAGCGGCATATGCTTGTAATCCTTGCACTCTGGGAGACCGAGGCAGGAGGATTGCAAGTTTGAGCCTAGCTTAGGCAACTTAGCTAGATCCTATCTCAAAATAAAACATGGGGGAGGATGGGCTAGGGATGTAGCTCAGTGGTAGAGAGCCTCTGGGTTTGATTCCTACAAAGATTTTTTTTGTTTGGTACCAGGACTTGAACTCATGACCTTGTGCTTGCCAGGCAGGCATTGTGCCACTGAGCTATATCCCCAGCCTTTTCCTGTATTCCTAATACAGGAAAAAAAGATCCTATCAAAGGAAGTAGGGCTGTCTAATGTAGAAATGAGAAGATTTAATCTAAATAATGCTATTTCATCTGTTGAGGGAGTAAAAAAATAGACTTACTAATTTTGCTTTAGAGTACCAATTTAAAAAATCAGGAAGCAGCTGGGCGTAGTGGCGCATGCCTGTAATCCCAGTGCTCGGGAAGCTGAGGCAGGAGGATCGTTTCAAGTTTGAGGCCAGCCTGGGCTACAAAGTGAACTCAACACCAGCCTGAACTACATAGTAAGACCCTGTCTCAAAAAGACAAAAAAAAAAAGAGAAAAACATCTGGAAGTAGAAAGTTTTAGCTGGATTTAAGCAAGAACTGTTGAACACTTCGCTATAGATGGTCTGAGGGCCCAAGGAAGTGGCGTTATTCTCAGAAAACAACTTGTCCAAAGGATATAGTGAGGATTCGGATGGGGGCTATCTAGTTGCTAGATCAAGGTAGCACTTTCTCTTTTTCTTCTTCTTCTTTTTCTTTTTCTTTTTCTTTCTTTTTCTTTTTCTTTTTCTTTTCTTCCCCTGTGTGTTGCTTTTAACAAAATTTACTTCCCCTCAGCTTGTCATATTATTTTTTGTTGGTATAAATTGATGTAAAATTCACATTCTGTAAAAAAAAAATCATCCTTTTAAACCATATGGTTCAACAGTTATTAGTAGACGCACAAGACTGCACACCTCAACACTATCTAATTGCAGAACACGTTTTTATGACTTGCCAAGGAAACCTCTTACCTGTTAGTAGTCCCTAACTGTTCCCTCGCCTTAGTCCCAGTAACCAGCAGTTTGCTTCCTATTCCATATCATGGCCATCTCATATAAATGGACTCACTCAGGCTATGAAATGTCTCGCATTCACTTAGCATAATGCTTTCAGAGCTCCTCCCTATTGCAGCATGTATCAGTACCTCATTCCTTTTTATGTCTGCGTGGTAAATGCACCACATCTTATTTATTCATTTGTCAGCTGGTGGACATTTGGGTAATTTTCACTTTTTGGTTATTACAAATAATGTTGTTATGAACATTTTTATACAAATTTTTGTGAGAATGTACTGCTTTCTTTTTTCTTGAGTATATACATAGGAGTGAAATTGTTGGGTCATATGGTAACTGTACTTTTCGAGGGACTGACAGATGTTATATTCCTACCAGCAGTACATGAAGGGTACAGTCTCCACATCTTCAATGTTTTTTTATTATTTATGTTTTTGATTATAGCCCTCCTAGTGGATGTGAAATAGTATCTGATTGTGCTTTTGATTTACATTTATAATGATTGATGGTATGAAATGTTTTTCATGTGTGTGCTATTTTTGTATATGTTCTTTGAAAATTTGTCTGTTCAGATCCTTTACTGATTTTTACAGTATTTTCTATTTATTCTAAAGTTGTAAGGGTTCTTTATATATTCTTCTGAGTGCTGAATCCTTATCAGATGTGTGATTTAAGTATTTTCTTCCATTGTATGACTTTTAATTTTCTTAGAGTCATTGAAACGCAAATTTTTTTAATTTTACAAAGTGAAATTTATCTTCTTTATGATGTAGGTATCATAAGTAAGAACCTGTTGCCTTGCTTAAGGTTAGAAAGAAATGTGCATGTCTCCTGTGAGGAAGTTCTAGATCTTTGATATGTTTCAATTTTTATTTTTTACATTACCAGGAGTTGAACCCCTTGCACATGGTAGGCAGATACTGTACCAGTGAGCTACATACCCAGCCCTTTTTCTTTTCTTAGTTTGTGACAGGATCTTCCTAAATTTCCAAGGCTGGGTTTGTGATCCTCTTGCCTCCAGTTCTTGAGTGGCTGAAATTACAGGCGTTCACCTGGAGTTTGAGTTACTTCTTGTACATGATGTGAAGCAAGGATCCACATTCATTCTTTTAAGCTTAAAATAAAACAACGTATTCAAACTGATTTTTAAAAAGTCAGCGTATATTTGTGCTGTAATCATATTACTCAGCTTGCTCATGTTTTTCCTTCTCCAGCTTAGTTCTCACTGACAGGATTTTAATATTATCGCTACAAAGATCTGACTCAGTGGACTTTGAAATGACTTTCCAGGGTGTGAGACAACTTCCAGTTCCTAAACAGGTCCTGACTCAAGGAGGTGCTCAGTAAATATTTGTTGGAGAAATCACTCCTATGAGCAGCCCTTTGAGATCACATGCAGTTCCAACTGATGCCCCATCTTTCTTTTTTTTTGTTTTTTTTTTTTGTGTGTGTGTCTTTTTGAGACAGGGTCTCACTGTGCAGTTCAGGCTGGCCTTGAGTTCACTTTGTAGCCCTGGCTGGTCTCGAACTCTCAATGATCCTCCTGCCTCAGCCTCGCGAATGCTGGGATTACAGGCGTGCACCACCACACCTGGCCTCTTCATGTATGTCTTTTTTTGTTTTTTTTGTTTTTTTTTTGGTTTTTTCTCCGGTACCGGGAACCGAACTCACGACCTTGCGCTTGCCAGGCAGGCGTTTTGCCGCTGAGCTAAATCCCCAGCGCCCCTCTTCATGTATTTCTTAAAGAGAACAAAACAGAATGAACCGCTTAAAGTCAAGTTGAATTCACTTTTGTCCCTACAACCAGATAAAACATAATTGCTTTTTCTGAATTAAAAAACAGTTTATTCCCTCTCTCTCTCTCTCTCTCTCTCTCTCTCTCTCTCTCTCTCTCTCTCTCTCTTCCTGTACATTATTTCTGGAGATAAGGGTCCTTGCTTCTGGGTTACATGGAGCACCAACGCAGTGAGCAGGTAGCTAACCCAGAAGCAAAGGCTGAGCCTTTGACTTTGGATTCTGGAGAAGGCTGTGGTGCAGTAGGTCAGTGGAATTCCTATCGGGTATTTGGCTATGAATCTCAGAGACTGCTAGAAATCTGTCTTGACCTTGCTTCTCAGTCTTACCTTTCAACATATTATTGTTACCTCTCTGTGTTTAAATGTCTGTGCTAGTGGCAGTGACTGGCTTAATTCTTTATCTATTGGTGCCTGTAACTGACAATATATTTCTCAACTCTTGTTCACAGAGGGACCTGTCAGGGCACAAGAATATTGTGGGTTACATTGACTCTAGCATCAACAGTGTGAGCAGCGGTGACGTATGGGAGGTTCTCATTCTGATGGATTTCTGTAGGGGTAAGTGTATGAACCATATTCTGGACCTCTTTTCTCTAGCATTTTGATTATCAAGGGCATAGAGATCATTTTATTTAGTGTGTATTGTACTCTAAACTGTGTTGTTTTGGTTTTACGGATAGAAAGAGATTAAAAAGATACAGAGTATACTATAAACTTTAGGTTATTATGGTGACAAGAAACTGTGGCACAAACAATTAAAAGTCACAGATAATACAAAACCCTGTCTTTGTTGGGTTTGCGAAGGTTTGGTCATGTATATAAATGAGGACATAGGAGAATTTGAATGAATGTGCTCTTTGTGATGCTTTGAAACATGATGAAGACACATCATAAAGGCCCAACTCCAGATGGACCAAAGAAACAGTGCTACTTCCCCACCCCCTCACTTGTGTGTTCCCTTCCCCGCTTACACTATCATCCTTGTGTTCCTTGGTGAAAGAATCCTTTTTGTGGGATGGAAATGATCTTTTTCTCCTTGCTCTAGAGCTGCAATTTCGGGTAAGGCTGCATTCAAATGATGCTTCTGTTAACAGTGGTGTTTAAGTAGTTGAAAGCTTGAAGTTGCAAAGAACATTTGTCTTGAGAGATACAGACTGTAGATTGAATGTAGTCACAGAGTTGACTGTATTCCATATTACCACTGTTCAGGGGTTTGGGTTTTTTGGCCCAAGCAGCTGCCACCTACAAGCTTGGGTCATTGTCTTACTGTCTTATAATTGCCCTTGGCTCTAGTAACATTTTCCTGCCTTTAAAGATACTGTCTATAAATTAATTACATTGTTTATCCCAAAACTGTAAGGTTAACCAGTAATTTCAGTCTTCATTATATTACCTATGAACTGATTTTGCAAAATACTACCAATTTGAACTCGACAGTTCATTTTCTCCTGACCATTCTTTTTTGGACAATAAAATGTTTAGCGGCTGGGCAGTAGTACAAAGATCTGGATGATTTTGTAAGAGAGGTCATCAGTTTTTTGGTCCCGCAGATGAAATGCTGGTATAGCATTTCCACAGGCCAAGCAGTAAGTGATGAGGCCAGAATTATAGTCCCAAAGTACAGGCTGTAATGCTGTCTTCTTCCTGCTCCCTGGGTCTGTTGTACCGTCTGATCCTAACAAAAAGGGATGGCAAGTGAGGCTGTGGCCTCATCTCTTACACAGCAGGGCTAGCATTAGCACGGAACTACAGCAGCACCACTGTATCAGTTCTCCTACTAATCTTGAAGACATAATGAGGGCAGCTTATGCCTGGGTACTTTATAAAAGAAAGAAACTGTTTTCAGTGCATTACAGGAAGCTTTGAATTGTTTAAAAAAAAATTCCTAAGCTTCGAGGACACTGGGGCTCCAGCCTGGCTTGGCCATTATCAGCTTTGGCACTTTCACCTTGGCTGTTTCTCTTTGGATAGCCACTCCTTCTCTTGGTCTGAGTGACAAAGCTGTTTATAACCTCTCCTTTGCTTCACACCCCTCTCAGGAGGCCAGGTGGTAAATCTGATGAACCAGCGCCTACAAACAGGCTTTACAGAGAATGAAGTGCTGCAGATATTCTGTGATACCTGTGAAGCTGTCGCCCGCCTGCATCAGTGCAAAACTCCGATTATCCACCGTGACCTGAAGGTAGCGGACCACACCATGTCACTATGTGCATTCCTGCTGAGTGTTTTCTCTCTGTCCCAGGGATGGAGTAGGTCCTGTGGGGATGTAAAAGAATTTTAAAGCACGGTCCCTAACTCCAAGCTTAATTCTGCTTGGGGTGAGCAGATATGAAGAAAAAAGTACAGTGCAGTGTCAGTTCTGCTACATAAGTAGCCTCCAGAAATTGCAGTTATCAAATACCAGAACCCATGATGTTTTCATTTTTCTTGCCATACTCCCAGATTCACATTTTCAGAGACATTATATTCACTTAAATTGTTTGTAAATGTGTGATTTCTAAGTCTGTTTCATATTTTGCAAAAAATCATTAATTGATTACTTTTAAAATCAGTGCTACTGATCACCATCACCTTGCACTGTGCCTCTCATATGATAGTCACTCAATAATGTATGTTGGATGGACTTGGCACCCGATTAGGATTTGGCTTAGCATTTATGGAGCACCAGCTATGTGCCACTTACTCTGTTACTCCTTATGTATACTTTCTCATTGGAGAAAGAGATGCTTTAATACATTTTTCGGTTGATAAAACTGAGTAGGAGAGAGGCTGTATGACTTTCTTAGGTCATATAACTCTGAAAGAACAGTACCAAAATTTGAATCTAGATCTTCTGATTCTAAATTACAGTTTCTTTTCATTATATCTGTGTTTCAAGAAACATGTTTCCTAGCTAGTGGCTTGTGTCCCCTGTTGTGCTTGTTAAATGCAGGCTGCTAGGTTCTACACTGAACATTTTAGCCTAGAAAATGGTGGTGATATCAGGAAACTCCAGGAATTCATATCTTTTTTGTTTTGTTTTGTTTTGGTCTTTCTGAGATAGGGTCTCGCTGGTCAGGCTAGCCTTGAGCTCCTAGGTTGGTCTCAAACTCCAACGACCCTCCTGCCTCAGCCTCCTGGGTGCTGGGATTACAGGCGTGTGCCACCACACCCAGCCAGGAATCTTGATAAGCAACTCTTGCTGTTTTTGTACTCTCTAAATGATCATGGCAACATACTTACATTTTTTTAAACAATTGAAATACAAGTCACATTCCATAAAATTCACCTTTCAGCAGTTTTTACTATATTTGCAAGGCTGGGCAAAACATCACTGTCCAGTTATAGAACGTTTCATTGTCTGCCAAAGTGCTGTATCAATTAATCATCACTCCTCATTCTTCTCCTTTACCTCAGCCTTCAGCTTCCACTAACTTTCTTCCTGTGTCTATGTATTTTCATATTCTAGGCATTTCATATTAATGGAATCAGGTGACATCTTATGTCTTTCACTTAACAGGTTAAAGTTCATCTATGTTCTTGTATTTATTAGTACTTTATTTTCATAGCTACATAATGTTCTATTGTATAGATATGCTACATTTTGTTTATCCATTGATTAATTTTTTCCATTAATTCATTGGTGAACATTTGAGTTGTTTCCACTTTTTAGCTATTGTCCTGTCATGAATATTTGTGTACTAGTTTTTGTGTGGACCTCTGTTTTGAATTCTCTTAGGTATACCTGGAGGTAGAATTGCTGGGTCATATGGTAACTGTGTTTTAGCTTTTTGATGAACATTCAAAATTGTTTTCCAAAGTGACTACACTGTTCATATCCATTAGCAATATATAGTGTTTCCACTTTCTCCTGACCCTTACCAAAACTTGTTGTTGTCCTTATTTATTTTAGACACCCTAGTGGGTATGAAGCGGCACATATTGGCACTCCTGGGTGAACGCAGTTCGATACAGGAACACAGGCCTAGACCCCCACAACGTTAGATAGCCGCCTCCCTTGTACCTCTGTCCACAGCCCTTTTTTTCCCCTGAGAGAAAAAGGAGAATGCATCTTGGTGAATATTGATTATGTACCTAATATAAATACATCACTTCATGGGAGTAGCACAGATACATACTCCACCCTTGATGTTTAAAGTATTGTTGGTGAGGAGCTATAAATGGAATATTTAGCCTTGAAACAAGAAGAAGGGAGTAAACTGTAGAGAGAGCGGTAAGTAGAGCAACACTGGGTTGCATGATATATGGTCAGACAGTGGGAAGAGGCAGCGGTGGTCGGGATACTTGGGAAAGTTGTGAAGGGTTGGTGGGACAGGAGCGGTCAGAGAGCAGAGTGGGAGGGCTGCGACAGCCAGGTGCGTGGAGACGGGCAGATGGGTAAGGGCTGGTGGATGGCCAGTTCCAGCCCAGGCTAGGGTGACTGCAGGCCTCTGCTCTAGATGTGTTGATACCTTATTCCTAGTTGTCTTTAAAAGTGAGTGAAATTCTCGGTTGAATGCTGTCAGCGTGTGTCAGTCAGCTTTCCATTACTGTAAGAAATGCCTGAGATAATGAGTTCCTAAAGAGGAAAGGTTGTTTTGGCTCACGGTTTTAGAAGCTCCAGCCCATGATCAACGGGCCCTGCTGCTCTGGAGTGTGTGGCAGGCTGCATATCCTGACAGGGAGCCCATGGCAGAGCGAGATTGTTCAGCTCAGGTTTAGAGACGGAGAAAGAGGCAGAGGAAGAGCTCCCTTCAAGGGCATGCCCACAGCGACGTAAGAAGTTCCACTAGGCCCTGCCTCTTAAGACGTCCCAAAGCACCAGGCTGGTGACCAAGCTTATATACGTGGGCCTTTGCAGAACACGGCAGATCCCCAGGACACCACTTATATTTTTGAATGAGAAGTGGTACCAGAATTTAAGGACCTGACCTCTTTTCACTGCTGCCTCTAAAGAAGAGTTCATAAGGGACACTGAAATAGGGCAGAAGTGTGGCACTGCTTCTGTGCCCCTTGTGATCCTTGGCCTCTCCATATCCTGCCTCAGCCTCTCAGAGTGCTGAGGTTATAGGCATGCACCACCATGCCTGGCTCAGTGTGGTATTTCAGTGGATGATACAACATGAGATGTCATATTTGCCCTCCAGTTCTACAGGATTATGTGACTGATACTAACAGAAGAGCAGATGGGAGAGATGAGCATACCACTTCCTTCATAATTCCCGGGGCTGGGGATTTAGCTCAGTGGCACAGCGCCTGCCTGGCAAGCGCAAGGTCATGAGTTCAATTCCCAGTACCGGGGAAAAAAAAAAAACCTTCATAATTGCCAAGTGCAAAGGATACTTTTCAGTCCATCTGTTCTCTCTGTGGTCTTTGGCTCCTTCATGGTATCCCTTCCTTAGAGAGAGCATGTTCTCCCTAGCTCTCCCTTCTCTGGCTCCTTGGCTTGTTCCTGAAGTCACTTAGCCTCTCTGAGCCTCAGTTTTACTATCTGCAGAGTGGAGAGAACAGTGTCTGTTTGTTAGGTGTCTGAAGGAAAGAGCGTGTCAGTCTCTAGGTATGTGCTGCACAGTAAATAGGGCCAGAGGGTAGGAGGGAGGAGGCAGAGGGCCACGCAGACACTTTTAGAGTATGATTCCTATTTTTTTTTTTTGTCTTTTTGTCACAGGGTCTCACTATGCAGTTCAGGCTGGCCTTGAGCTCACTTTGTACCCCAGGCTGGTCGCAACAATCCTTCTGCCTCAGCCTCCCAAGTGCTGGGATTATAGGCGTGCGCCACAACGCCCTGCCCCTGATTCCTATATTTTTAAACAAAATTGCCCTTTAACCTTTTAAACATGTACTGAGTTGTGTAAAGTCTAAATGGTAATCACTTCCTGCCCCTCCTGTTTGTATATTTCTAGGATAGCAGTGCCCTATGTTGGGGAAGTGCTGCTGTGAGGTGTGGGCCAGCAGCACCTGGTGACAGGACCTTGGGGACGCAGAATGGGTCTGTGGCGTGGCTAAGGCAGCAGGACAGACTCTTCCTTCCCTGACTGAGCAGCTGTGAACTGCTCACTAGATCACAGCGCGAGGCGGTGCAGGAGGAACAGGTTGCCTCCTCGCTTCCCTGGTGGCACTTTACCCAGGTTGCCAGCCATAGTTCTGGAGACCGACTCTGTTCCCTTCCTCCTACCATGGAAACAGGGACGTGCATAAGGGCTGTGGGAAGAGGCCTTGACCGGAGACGGTCTTGTTGCTGCTGCTTATGTTGCTGATTCCAGACTGTTTCGATTGGAGCTTTTTAAACCTCTCAGATTGACACTCGGCACCCCTAGGTGCTTTCATTGTGGATTACATTTCATTGATTTCTACTCATGTGTGCATGGTAGCAGTAACAGTTGCCTGCTGCACCTCTGGCTTTCCAAGGTCTGAGTGAAAAGTCCCCACGTACCTTCTGCTTCCCTGGCTCTGTCTTTGCCTCAGTGAGCCTCGGCCACTCTGAGCCCCAAATCGCTGCTGGAACCAGCCGCCACATTCCGGGCAGTAGCGGGAAGCAAGAAGTCCTTTACTGTCCTCTTGGCCAGGGAAGCTGGCTCTCTAGCTCCTTGATCTCGTTTAATCTGTCCCCAACCACCTACTTGTTTCCATCCTTCTGTGGAGAAGGCAGCGCTGCAAGTACAAGTCAGTGGGACTGGAGAGGACACAGGCCAGGGATGTTGTGCACCTTGATAAGCCAGTACCTGCCCGGGTACAGGGCTGCCCATTCACACGCACGACCAGGAAAGCCCCTCTTGCCCTGCCTGCCTCGGGCACCATCTTTCTTGCCACCATGACATGTAGAACATAAGCTGGAAAGCGTCCCTGTCCTTAGGCAGCTTTTGTTCTAAAAATAATCATAATGGAAACACTGTTCTGTAGATCGCTCCTCAAGCATATTACTGCCACCCTTCAATTATTTCTCCCATTTTTAATTTTCATTTCTCTGAGGAAATAAAAAATTGCAGATTATGGGGTTCTAGATCTGGGAAGGTCATCTAAATCAGCCCTTGCCTTTCACCAGTGAAAATCCTTGCCACCAAAAGACTATGATTGCTCTGCACATCTAATGAGGTAATCAAAACAGAGTGAAGGCAGAGGCTTTTCTGTCTGTTACTTGCTTTGTTGTGTTACATAGTGCTGGTTGTTCAAGCACGTAAGAAAGAGGAACAAAAGGTTAAGGCTTAAGCGCACTCAGGTAGAAAGAGTCATAGATGGCAGCCTTTTTTGTCATAAAAGAGACTTTGATCTCATGGAGTATAATAGGATGGAGATTCTTCTCCCGTTTTTAGAAACACAGGTTTGAAAACCTGCATTCCTTGAATCCTCTAGTTTTCCAGTGATGATAAATTTTCTGTGCCAGACTTGTTTGGAATAACATTGTAATGAAGAGGTCAGCAGGAGGTGGCTTTCCAGACCTTTCAGCGAAAGCTGTGCGCAGAGTTAGGGAGAGACAGCTTTAATAGCCCTCTTCAGCTGATAGGTTGGGAAATAAGGTCAGCAGCATCGAATTCTCAAAGAGCTGAAATATTTGAGGACTGGAGGCAATAGTAACCAGTCTCAGCTTATATCTGTAGGGGCTTTGCCAAAAAAGGTGCCACTATGCACATTCTCTGAAGTGTTCTGACAGTGATGTATGAGTATCTAGTTGGTTCTCTACTTCTTTGATCTCATTTAATATGTTCCTGCTGGCTTGTACCACCCGGTGGGACTGTCCCACACCACCTGATGGTACAGTCACGTGTACTGCAGAGCTACCTGGCAGCGAGACGTAAAAGAATTAGGGCTGCACTGTGAGCATGTTCATCTGTTCTCTCCCACCTACCCCTTCGTGTTGTTAGTTGCCGCACCCTAGACCTGGCCCAGGTCACCTCTCACAGGAGTGTCACACCTTCCCTGCTGCTCTCCCTTCTCTCACTCTTCCTTCTCTTGCCAAGGTGGTTTTCATAAATGGCCATTTGTTTGTGCTGCCGACCTTTCGGCAGTTCTGAATGCCTCCCGAGTGGCTTTTCCCAGCCTTTCCTTGGTCCACTTTACTGGTTCACGTCCCCTTTGCTCCCATCTCTTTTCCCAGTCTGAGCTGTCCCTGCTCCTCCAGTGTGGTGTGTGCAGCTGGGCAGCCTGAGCCCAAATCCTGTTCTACCAGTTTTGTGAGCTGAGGCAAACTGGCCTCCCTTTTATCATCTGTTAAGGAGGAGGATAAGGCTTTGCAAGGATTGCATAAGCTTCTGTAAGTAAAACTGCATGGGAGTCCTCATAAAGGCACACGCCTGTAGTCTCAGCAGGCTGGGAGCCTGAGGCAGGAGAATCATGCTCAGCCTGGGCAACTTAGCTACGTAGTAAGGCCCTGTCTCAAATAAAAAATAAAGAGAACTGGGGATACAGGTAATACAGAAGCCCTGGGCCCAATCCCCAGTAGTGCCAAACAAAACAACAAACAATATGACACACATACACACACACACGCATGCACACACACACAGGACATTACTGGCATATACTAATACTGTTAGGTGCTGATAGCCATCATCGTCATCATCGTCATCATCTTCATCATCATCCCTTTTGCTTCTGTACTTTATTTTATTCCTGTAATTAGTACTTACCTAAGTTCTTAACTTTCTCCAGGGCCACATTATCATCTCCCCCACAGTGAGAGCATGCTAATATGTGCTATACCATGTTTTTAGATCCCTCTCCAGTACCAGCACAAGCACAGTGCTGGTCCACCACACTGGCTACTTCCACATTCAGACACCTGGGCACATGTCCGTCCTTGGGGCTGACTGTCCTCTGCTTGGAACGTTCTTCCGCAGCTCATCCCTGGCTGCTTTCTCCTCGCTCAGGTCTCTGCTCTCCTCACCAGAGAGGTCTTCCCTGACTGGGCTGTTTAGAGCCAGCCCTCTTCACTTTACGTGTACCTAACAAGCTAGAATTTGTTTCATAACATTTGTGTCCACCAGGCAATTATAATTATTTTCTTATTATCCCCAGTGGGACTCTAAGCTCTTCGTTTTTTCATGGCCTTATCCCTAGAATCTAGAAAAGTGTTTGGCATGTAGTGGAAATTCAGGCATGTTTCTTGCCTAAGTACATGGTGGTAGTATCTCCCGTATGGTAGGAAGATTGACAGTTTTCTTTTACCCACGTTCTCTCACTTGCCTTGTAACAACAGTGATGGAAATATCAGCTTCTCTTTGCAGATGAGAAGCAAGGCAGAAGAAACTTACCCTTTCGGCCAGGTCAAACATGAGAAATAGTTCCTGAGGTCTTCTGCCCCTCACATCCAGTGTTATTACCACATACCACATTGGGTGTTGAGTAGTTTGTTGGTAATGGTGACAGATGACAGGAGTAGTTAGTCTGGCCTTGGCAGTTTCCAAAGGAGCTGCAACTTACAGGATACCCAAGAGCAGGTGGAGAATACAGCAGTGGCTAAGGTGGCTGCTTCCAAGCAGTTTCACCTTTGTGAATCTCTTTTGATGCTCCCAGCAAATGTGCAGAGAAATTCTGACAAGGGGCAAGGGATATAGCTCAGCGGCAGAAGCACCTACCTGGGAAGCGCAAGGTTCTGAGTTTTATTCCCAGTTACTCCTCCTCCCCCCACAAAAAAAGGAAGAAAAATTCTGAGAGAGTACATGTACAGTAGGAGAAACATGGTTTCACATGGTCTTGTAAGATACATGAGGCCAGGGAGGGAGATGTTGCCAAATTACACTGATTTTGTCAGCAACACAGATGGGTTCTTAATGTGTAAACAGTACTAGACGAGGTGTTGTGGGGGATACACAGGCATAACACAGTGTCCTGGCCCCAAAGATTTTATACAGTATTTGGGAAGGCAAGCATAAATATGTGAGCAATACCCACACACAGGTGAAAAATACTAAATGATACTCAGTGATTATTGTAGGCCAGAGGTTGGCAAACTTTTTTGCAGAGAACTAGATAGTAAATATTTTAGGCCTGTTGACCATAAAGACTGTTGCAACTGCTCAAATCTGCCATTAGAAAAAAGCTATCATAAACTATAATCAATGGGTATAGCTTGATTTGGTCTGCAGGCCTTTCCACCCCTGTCCTGTCGACACTAAGGTCTATATATTTTGTAGGGTGATCATGGAAAGTTTTACTCAGGAGTTGGACCTAAAGCAAGGTCTTGAAGAACAGCTGCGGTTTGGTGGGCAGACAGTGAACAACTGAATAAAGAACAAATTGGGTTATACAAAAAATGCTTAGGAGACATGGATCAAATCAGCATGGCTAGTGTTTAGACATGGCTCCTTTTTGACTAGATTTCTATTATGGGGCATTTTTGAACATAGGAATTAAGAAAGCCCTGTCCTCAACACCAGTACAACATACTGTGCCAATATAAAGTCATCGTGGGTCAGCTTCAGCTCAAGCAGTTACTTCCTCATGCTGGACTTTCCATCCATGGAGCCATCATAACCCGGAGGGTGGGATCCTTGAGTAATCGCACTGCTTCTGACCTGCTTCCTGCCCTGAAAGAAATGTAATCTTCTGTTCTTTTCTAAAGTTAGATTGCTTAGGTTCACTCCCCAGCTCTACTACCTATTAGCTGTATGACATTTACAAAGAGGCGTAATCACTCTGAGCCTGACTTTGTCTGTTTGCAAGATGGGGATCATAGTATTATTGTTATTAAGTGAATTTAGTGGAATAATCCGTGTATAAAGTATTGCGTATAGTACTACTGACAATAGTAAAAGTTCATTAAATGATGACTGCTATTTTATAACTTCTAAGTCAGATCGAAAACATCAATATTGCTTTGCTGCAATTACTTTATTGTCCAAGTGAGTATATGCTCAGGATGGCTTGACTGTTTCTCTTTGCGTGTAGATTAAATCGACACACACAGTGTTATATATGTTTTGTTTCTTTGATTTTTTTCTATTGGACAAACGTTTTCTGGACCAAGCACTACAGAAGGCACTGTGTAGAGAAGGCTGCAAATGTGATTCAAGAGCAGATGCTTATCTTTAAGTAGCTCGTAGTCTACTTCTGCCTTTGCCTTCCAAAGGTGGTCAGTCCTTGGAAGGCTGAAGACAAAAGACAATGGAGACTACAGTCTTAGTGGCCTAACAGGATTTTTCAGCCATCATTTTACTGCCCCGCACAGCCAGGTCTGTCCTCCGGCCTACCAGTCAGCTTGGTTCCCCATACCAAAGGCTCATCAGAACAGAGTGCCCAAACTCTTTCGCACTTGTTTCTGTTGGAAGCATCCTTTGATACCAGGGATTTCTCTGAGTTTTGGTTCTCAAAAGCTCCTAGCTACTTAGAATTCTTACCAATGCCCAGAGACTTTATTTACGGAAACAAAATTAGGATAAAAAAATTTTTTTTTGGTTTTTTTGAGACAGGGTCTCACTATATAGTTCAGGCTGGTCTTGAACTTGCTTATGGAGCCCAGGCTGGCCCTGAACTCAGCAATTCTCCTGCCTCGGCCTCTTGAGTGCTGGAATTAGAGGTGTGCCCCACCACACCCAGCAGGATAATATTTCAAAAAGGAAACTGCCCCCAGGTGTTTTTATTAGTTGGAGAAGTAACTAAATATAAAATACACTGTTTCTGAAAACCCTAACCTAGTATAGTAAAAACATTACTATAGGAGTGTAAAGGGGCCAAATGAAGTAGTTGACATTAGGGAGGAATGAAATAGGGAGAGAAGATAGGAAGGAGTGGTATTTGAGTGAGGGCCCGAGGAAGGGTTCAAAACAGGAGATTGCAATTGGATTTGAAAGATGCTTGGTAATTTAATAGTTGTTTAGGGAGCTGGGGACGATGGTGGGGAGTGTTCTAGACTGAAGAAGAGCGAGAGTTCTAAAGTATCGGCTAAAGTGAGCACTGTTTCTGCAGCGTTGAGAAATGTGGTGGAAACCTGGGACAGTGAGACTCTGCCTTCCCCTGCCACAGCGTGTCCGCTTTTTACCCTCTCTGCCCTCACCTCACCCTGTTTCTGCGCCTCTCCTATTCTCCTTGGGATGACCCCCATTGAGGTACTTGGCAGGGAATAACTTCTTATGCACATTAAGGAGATTGGCAGAAATAAAACATTTATTTATGAGACAGTGAAGCCAAAGTTTCACGTGCGTTGCTAAATGATATCTTGGGGTGGATGGTTGGGGAATGTTTTTCAGGTTGAAAATATCCTCTTGCATGACCGAGGCCACTATGTCCTGTGTGACTTTGGAAGTGCCACCAACAAATTCCAGAATCCACAAGTCGAGGGAGTCAATGCGGTAGAAGATGAGATTAAGAAGTAAGTTCTTCCTCTTTTCCTGTGGTTTTGTCCATTATCAGACGAACAGTTCTTCTTTCAGGGAATGGATGAGACAGGCAGAGTGGGAAGAGATGGTGCCAGTCAGTTACCTTCATTTCAGAGCGTGTTATTCCCGGTTGGGTTGTTTGATTTTAAATGAAAAATAAGGAAGGCTTTCCCAGGCACTGATCTTCATAAAATAAAGGAATCTTCTTACACTTTATTAATAGTCCTATGGCCACTGTGCAAACGTATTTTGATGTATAGCATCACAAGTCCATAGGAAGCTGAGTGGTGTACACACTGTAAAAGTACTGTGATACTTCCAAGTGTGATCACAACTGTGACATTAGCAGTCAGAGAGATGTGCTTTTATGCTGAGTCCTAAATTGTTGCTTCCTTCCTGCTCATAAGGAACTCACCCAAATGGGTGGTGAGGAAGGCTTTTGAAGTCTATACAGACTGCCTTTGCACTGACTTTTTCAGGAACATACTTTAGACTTGTGCATTCAGTAAGAACCTGACCCGTTTTCCCCTTATCCACAGCATTGGCTTTGTCACAGTCACACGCACTGTGCTACTTGTCAGTCAGATGTGTAGCATACACTCCTACTTCTGACCCTCTCTCCCCTTGCATGCGTCATCCCAGACAGCCAAACGGGGAGCAGAACAACTGGGCCAAGGTCCCGACAGATACCTAAATCAGTCCCAGCTAGGATTCTGAGACTGGGGCAGCACAGATTACATGCTGAGCAACCCCAAGACACCACTCTGAGGGTGAACTTACACTGTTTTCTCAAGCCAGAGATAAAAAGAGCCCTGTTGTTTCAGCCTTGCTCAGGAGCAGAGATCAAAGGCACTTGAACCTATCCACTCCCACTGCACTTTCTGCTGTTCTCGAGTGTCCTAGCTGGTATTGCATCTCTGTTGAGCCACATTTAAAAGATTTACTATTTTTTTTTTTTAGCCAGCAAAATATGTATTAGGCAAAAAGGATTTATAGGAGAAGATTTTGTCATTTGAAGACCCAAGAAAAGTTGCTTTTAAGGCTTATTTAATGCATTCATACCTGGATCCCAGCATGTTTCTAGATTAGGTCTGGTGCTGGAGGGCTGCGCTGTGATGATATCATTGTACCGATGCCAGCCTTTCATTTTATAGAGGGCTGTGGTGTGATGATATCATTGTACCAATGACAGCCTCTCATTTTATCTGCACTAATATTTCCTGCTCTCTTCTGTAGATTGCTCCCAGGGAATTGGATTCTATTAACGTAATAAAAATTTCTGCTGCTCCTGGTTTTTAATTATAGCACTAATATATTTAACAAAAAATGAATCTCTTGATTGTAGATATACAACGCTATCCTATCGAGCACCAGAAATGGTCAACTTGTACAGTGGCAAAATCATCACTACGAAGGCAGATATTTGGGTAGGTGTCAACTAACCTGTGCACAGCCAAGATATTGGTTGTCATCGACCATGAACTGTCAGTATTCATGCAGATAGGGCTGTAGCCTGGTGGTACCTGTACCGTACCATTGTCTACTTTCCCTTGGGACTGCTCTTGATGTGAGGGGACCAACCACTGCTTCTTGGAACGTAACAAAGAAAGTTACTTCAGAGCCCTGTGAAAATTATTCAGGTGGTTTCTACTTATATTTGCTAGTTTTTAAGAGCAAAACAGGTAAAATGCTTGTCCTTTTTTGGTTTTTTGAGACAGGGTCTCGCTATGTAGTTCAGACTAGCTTTGAACTCACTATGTAGCCCAGGCTGGCATTGAACTCATGGAAATCCTACTCTTCCATCTTCCCGAGTGCTGGGATTACAGGCAAGCGCTACCATGCCTGGCAAAACACTTACCCTTTACTGGAGCATAATTTGGTAATAATGGTAGAAATAACTGAGCTTCTAAATAGTCATGTTGGTTTCTAAATTCAAGTTTTTAATGTCATGCAGTATTTATATCTGCTAGTAAAAGTTGATGGTGCCAGTATCTCTCATTAGATTCTCTTGGAGTTAAGCTAAATAAACCATGAGTAGCAATCTGATTTCTTTCTTTTTCTTTAGGCTCTTGGATGTTTGTTATATAAATTATGTTACTTCACTCTGCCATTCGGAGAGAGTCAGGTGGCAATTTGTGATGGGAACTTCACAATTCCTGATAACTCCCGATATTCTCAAGACATGCACTGCCTTATTAGTAAGTATTTCAAGTTTTTAGTTTTATATTTTTATCTCTAATTACTAAGAATGAATTGGAAGGTAAATGGGTTAGATTCCAGGCACAGTAGATTAGATCCATTGGTAAAGCAGTCATTGAGGGGCTGGGGATATAGCTCGGTGGCATAAGCGCCTGCCTGGCAAGCGTGAGGTTGTGAGTTCATCCCCAGTACCGCACAAAAAAAAAAAAAAAAAAAAAAGCAATCAGTGATAATAGTTGGGAGGGAGTACAAAGATAATTTAATGGTGTCTGCTTGGAGTGATGCATCTTTCTGCTGAAATCTAAACTGTTTCATACCTGAGCCGGCAGCAGAAATCTTCGTTGTGTTTTCAGCAGTGCAGTAGTGCTGTGTTCTATTGCAATCTGTACAAAAGCTGTGGTACCAAAGGTGTCCCGCTGACTCGTATCAACTGATAAGAAATTCATCTTTGCCAAACTGGAAGCAACTCAAATGAAAATGATTGCAATGCATTAGCTGGAATGAATACATAATTAAGACTTTATAACTGTGGAACCAGGTTTATCATCTCATTTAGATTAATCACTGGATTTGTATAACGAGTATCTAAACTCAGTGCTTAAGATTCTCCATTTTTTGGGGTATCATCATAACAAACATAAGTACTAGCATCCATTAACCAGATGGTAGAATAAGTAATCTTTGCACAAGACCTCATACTAAAATGCTAAAGAAGTAGAGATTTAAAAAAAAATCATCTTTCCACTTTGGCCAACGCATTTAGCATCTTAAGTTTTAACCATTTAGATCATAAATCTTGAGCCACCTAATTTGGGCCCAGGGTAGGATACACTGAAAAAAATAGACACACCAAATTTGAGGTGGAGCATCTGACATGTATTGAGGGGCTTGAGGCTCATTGAATTTTTAAAACCCTGCATAGCCAGGCTTGATGTTGCACCCCAGGAATTGCATCACTATGGACACTGAAATAGGAGGATTGAGAGTTCAAGACCAGCAAGGGCTCCATATTAAGTTCAAGGTCAGCCTAGATTACATAGCAAGACTTTGTTGCATGAAATAAGCAAATAAACCAAAATACCCTATAGGTTATTGTTTCGTTTTGTTTTTGGCCATGCTGGGGATTGAATCCAGGGCATTGTGTACACGGGGCAAATTACCACCGAACGTGCCCAACCCAAAACTCTATATATTTTAAGTGTAATTATCCCTATTATGCACATGAGGAAACTGAAGCTGAGAAAATACAGGTAGCTTATTCAGGTTAATATACTTGCAGCTTTTTTGTTTTTGTTTTATTTGTTTAGTTTTTTTTTTTTTTTAAGATTGAATCTCATTATGTAGTTCAAATGGCCTTGAACTTACTATGTAGCCTGAACTGGCCTCAAACTTGTGTCCCCTGCCTTAATTCTCTGCGTACTGCTTTATAGGTATGAACCATATCTGCTATAGTTATAGCTTTTTTTAAAAAAAATAGTTGTAGCTTTTATTTGTCAGACTTGCCAACCGCTTCCAATAATTAATGACAGGTAGGGATTAGGAGTATTTAAAGGGACCAAGTATAGCATTTAATGATTCTTAGATTATTTACAGAGTGAAACATTGTATATATACTAGAATTACAGCTATGTAGGTAAGATTAGAAGGAAATACAAATAATAGCCAAATTTAATATTGTTAGTAGTTTTTTTGGTAATTTTTTTCTTCTGAACATTTGTACAGTAAATTCATATTAGTGGAAACAACTCGTTATGAATACCTTTAGTACTTTACAGCTTTCCAAAACTGTTTCAGCTTGCAAATACATTATTTGAAAATCCATTAATACCCTAACCTCAGATGTGTAAAATTCTATTTCATTACTACTGTCTGCCCCTCACCCTCCTTTTACCTTTCAGTACAAGGTTTTTCTCTTTACAATATCTCGTCAATGGTGTTGTCATTCAAGCCTGGATGGATGAAATTTAAGATTTGCTTTGGATCTACCTAGTAAGAAAGGAAATCCATTCATTTCCTAAGCGGTATTTTTTGTGTGTGTGGTGGGGGTCTTTTTGAAACAGAGTCTCACTGTGCAGTTCAGGCTGGCCTTGAGCTCACTTTGTAGCCCAGGCTGGTCTCAAACTTGCACCGATCCTCCGGCCTCAGCCTCCTGAGTGCTGGGATTACAGGCGTGCACCACCACACCCAGCTTAAGCTGTATTAATTATATTTTTGGAGTTCCTATTTTCATTGGTTTTCTCGATTTCTAGTACTGTCACCATAGTATATATAGACCGCCAGCTCATGCCTGTACCCAATACCCTTGCCAGTACTGGAGATTGAACCTAGGTTCTTGTGCTCCATCCGCAGCCCTTACAAAATTATTCTTACAAAACACCCCTGTCTCATGTACTGTTCCGTAAACTTGAGGGGCTGGCTGGTGGTTCTACACAATGGGGCCCAATCCTTAGTATCATTTAAGACCCTTCAGAGTCTGGTTCAGCCCACCACACACACTCTCTCTACCCTGTCCCAGCTCCTTTGTTTCCCTGCAACAGAGCATTAATTCTCTTGCCTTTCTCTAAGTCACCTTTGTTCACATGTTCTCTCACTTGAACTGTCTTTTTCCTTGCTTTCCCCCTAAAATTCTGTCCTGCCTCCCTACCAAGGCTTCCAAGGCTGTAGCCTCACTGATCTTTTCTGAACTTTGTATCCAAACCATTTGTTCACCACTTAAGCAGTAAATTGCATTGTACTTCTTTGTACATTTACATATGCATTTGTGTTCTCTCAAAGACTTTTCCTGAGGAATTTTTCTGCTTCAGAGAGGACAGAATGTGGGCTGGCGGTATAGCTCAAAGATACAGCACTTGCCTAACATGTGGAAGGCCCTGGGTTTGAGCCCCAGAACCTTAAAGGAAAATGTAGAAGTTTAAAAGGCCTGTGGATCACTGTTAAAGTAGATTTGTGTGTTACTTTATAACTTAAACTAGAAACCGGCTGTTATCTCCAACAAAAGATTAGTAAGTAAATTCATGAAGTTTGGGTCTTGGTGATGAAAAGTAGTCATTTATTTAGCAAGAGAGTATTAACCAGGGAAGCTGTAAGCAAGACCATCCTCGCTGTCCAAACATGAAGCGGGTAACTTCAATATTGACAGCTTATGGCCCTGTTGTGCAAGGCACAGAATTTGAACTTCAAGTAGCATTTTTACAATTAAGATAGTTTGTTTTGTTTTGGATATTAACTATTATAGGAAATTCAGAACTTTTATTTTTAAGGAAAAGAGCTAATTGTGCTTTCTGACTTTTATGAGAAATAAAAATTAAAAAAACAACAAAAGTCTGATAGTAGAAACATTAAGCTTCCTAGCCAATGTAGTAACCGTTAGGATATTACTAAGTAAGTTTACATATGTTTGTCTTAGGGTATATGTTGGAACCAGATCCTGACAAAAGGCCGGATATTTACCAGGTCTCCTACTTCTCATTTAAACTACTCAAGAAAGAATGCCCAATTCCAAATGTACAGGTATGTCTGTGATGCTTTAAGGGGAAGTAAACATTATGAAATTGTCATTTTGAGTTCCTGGGGTATTAATCAGCTGTTCAAATGAATGTAGATATCCCTTGGTTTATCTGTGAAGAACCATTCAAGCAAAACTAATTATGAAACAGCTGCTATAAAGAGGATCCAGTTTTCCCATGGAATATAATTATCAAACTGAGGCAGTTAATGAACAAAAAAAAGTCCCAGGGATTGCACTAGAAGCTTTGAGTGAAGAGTGGGCAATTTCATGTCTTGTCTCGGCTGTGGCCTGCTGTGTTCCCTAGAGGTGATCAGACACTCAGCCTTCCTGAGGCAAGGCCTTGGGCTTCCCCCAGGCCTCCTGCAGAGACAGCCGCTCCTACCAGTTCTTGCTGCAGTGCTTTCTTGATTTTGCTTCTGCTGCAGCCATGTGTAATCCACACTCCTCCTTCTCTTTATTTTTATTTTTATTTTTATTTTTATTTTAAAGAGTAAGAGAAGGATAACAATAATGGGGGGGGGCTTACCAAATTACAGACAAAGTGGTAGGAAATTATCAATGGTTATTGTTTTACGTATTGTTATCTACAAGATAGTTTCTCAGGAAAACAAATAGACAAATAATAGTGAGTTAGAGACAAAAGAGGTAGGAGATTATCAATAGTTGTTGTACTCTACTTAGGTATCTTCAAAAGAAAATAAATAGAACTATACATGAGTGACCTATTGAATAATCATTAATATTCTCAATGGTTGTTGTAGGAAACACATAATAATAAACATGGATCCATTTATGAAATAGGATAGGAACAATACAAACATTGCAGAGTTATGGATAGATTAGCAGGAAAATATCAATGGCTGCTGTAATACATGTTGGTATCTTAGAAGTGGTTTCTCAGGAAGACAGAGATACACAAGAAGGATCTAACAAGTACTTACAGCCTAAGGGTTGTCAAAAATCAAGTGAGCTGTCTGGGGCCAAAGCCTTTTTTTGTAGCGTTTTCTCTCCAACCTCCATCGCATTGGGACCCCACAACCAGTTAGTGTCCTCTCCCCAGCTGTCAGCACAGGCAGCAGGAATCCTGTTGCAGACTTCTCCGGGGCTCTACCACAGCCTGTACTGTCAGGGGAAGAATGGCTTCCAGAGAGTCTCCGCATGTATTGTGCAAGGTCCTCCTGGTTTATAGCTTCTGAGCGGCTCTCATGACCCCAGTCCACAGGACCTCTGACCCCTCAGGCTTAGTCTGCATTCTCATGTTCTCCGAGTCCTTGTTCAGCAGCTGCTTCTCTGCTGACTCTAGACCTTTCTGGTTCTCAATGGCAGGAGCAAGAGTGGCCCATTGTATAGCATGTATTCCCAGGGGATTTTCCACGTTTGAATGATTCACACACATCCTTAGGTGGGCATCTGCAGCCTGTGCATGGTGGGCCAATTGTGTCATTGTTTCTCTGTGTCATGATAGTTCTCAATTGAGCAGCGGTGGCCGGCCTGAAGGCCGGCGTGCCACAGTGCTCTCAGCCACATGGCTTCCCGTGTGCCGGGGGCCCTCCCTCCGGGGGCCTACGAGGCAGGAAGTGAGCCAGCCGGAAGACAGGCGCTCCCCACCCGTGGCTCCCTGTGCGCCGGAGGCCTTCCCTCCGGGGGCCTACGAGGCAGGAAGTACACACTCCTCCTTCTCTACCTTCCTCACACGCATTAAACCATGAGCACATGTTTCACACTTACCTAAACCCTACGCGCAGTTTTCAGAGTAAAGTGCTTTGCAAACACCTTCTTTATAATCTTGGCATATTCTTATGTCATATTTAGATCAAGTTCTCTTACATATTTTACTAATGGATGCTCTAATAAGTAGATTCTAATTGAAATTTTCTTGCTGGTTTCTCTGATGATGAACTTTTGATATCACGGAAGTTTAAGTGTTGGAGGGGTACCGATAAATCACATTCCCGTTGCACTGCCACATTGGGGTCAGCAGTGGTCCTCATTCAGATGGCTGGACAGCTGGAGGAGAAGCTGGTTTTCCAGCAGAAGTTAGTTCCTCCTGGGAATACAAGGAAATGAGAGGACCCTCCTAAAAGCCAGCATGATGGTATTATTTGCCAGGTGACCCAAACTGAGTCAAAGACTACGGTACAGTAACTTCATATGACCGTTTTTACTTTTTTTTTGTTTGTTTAGCAATCTCATTTTCCCATTCACAGAGTAAATAACGTGAAAGAGAATTGAAAGCATTCAGACTGGTACCAAGTTTTTAAAAAGTAAACGTTGCAAGTCCCACTTGCCTTAGTCACTTCCTTCATTGCTGTGACACAGTGCTGGGCACCCACCACGGGAAGAAGAAGTTCACTTTGCTTATTTTTTAACCTATGGTCTGTTAGTTCCAAGGCAGAAAGTATGTAGCAGAAGGGCCTGGGCAGAGCAAAGCTGCTTTGTCATGGTTACCCAGAAGCAGAGAAAATAGAGGAGCTGGGGAAGGAGATGCACGTTTCCAGGTCACTCCCCTAATGACCTGCCTCTACCCAGGCCCCACTTCCCGGCAGTAAGTCAGCTGTAGCGGCTTCTTGATTCAGTCACCTTTCAGAAGCTCTGCCCATAAGCCTTTGGGGCTGTTCTTGATCCAAACCATAAGTCATTTGGTACTCGCTCAGAAGTGTTGAGCTGTTGTATGGTTCAGGACGTCTAGTTGGTGCTCCCTCAAGAAGCAGTAGGGGCTGGGGTCAGTGATGCATGCCTGTCATCCCAGCTAGGTGGGAGGCTGGGATAGGAGGATCACAAGTTCAAGGTCAGCTGAGGCAGTTCAGTGAGACCTTGTCTCAAAATAGAAATAAAGAAGGCTGAGGGTGTAGCTCAGCGGTAGAGTACCCGGGAAGTTGAACAATGCAATCTCCCTTTCCCATTCCTTTTGTAACATCATTTCTAAGCTGGGTAGTAGCACGAGAATGGACCAAGATGAAGCCCGTGCGCTGAGCCTGGTGCAGCAGGGGGAGAGTAACGGGAAGAATGTACTGCATGCAGACTGCTCTCTCATCTTGTCAGCCACTTTGTTTCCCTGACTGTGACCGAGTCTTGCCTGTATTTGGTTAACTTCCCTTCCCTCTAATGGGGATCAGGGATGGTCACACTAAAGATTCCCAAGTGTAGTACTATCAGGCTGATTATCCTTTTACAGAGAGATCTGTGATGCCCTTTTCTTTTTTTCTCCTTTCAATTCTTTAGAACTCTCCCATTCCTGCAAAGCTTCCTGAACCAGTGAAAGCCAGTGAGGCAGCTGCAAAAAAGACCCAGCCAAAGGCCAGGTAAGAAATGCCTTTGTGTGCACATGTCCTGCTGGAGGTTCAGCAGCAGGGCAGGATTCTCATGTTTCTTGATTTTCATGCTGCCATGACCAGAGGGTGCCCAGATGGGGAAAGGAAGCCTTGTCTCCCTTTGCAGAAACTCTTCTTTGGGAATGCCAAGAAGAATATAATGAAATCCTGTGATCTACGTTTGAAAGAGAATCTAGAACCCTACAGCTGTTTTTCTTGCATGGGAATAACACAGGGGCAATGAGAGATGAGGCCAGGTAGACTTCAAATGTTGCTAGTACAAGTTTCCCAGCATGTGTCCTGGCTTGTGGTTAGCTATGTCCACTACCCTAACCCTCTACCTTCCTTTCCTTCTTCCCTGTGTGACTCGGGCCATGTTAGGGACGTGCAGAACAAAGCACCAAGTTGATGAACAACAAAAGGCCTTGCGGGGCTTCGCTCATCACATTCTGTGCCACATGGCATCTTCTAAGAAGCAGATGCTAAGAAGTGATTAAATACTCAAAGAGGTGAACTGGAGAAATGCATAAGTGAGCGAGAGAACAGGAAAGAGGCAGAAAAGGCTGGGAGAACCCACAGAAGGCCCGGCGTGACCCAGAGAGAGGAAGGAGAGTGATGGTTTGAATCTATCACCAAACATGTTAGCAGGTCCTTACTCCAAATCCACCAGCAGAGGAGTCCCTTTCCTTCTAGGAGTCCCTGCATCTGGAATATGAGGGCTAGGAGAAACCTATGAGAGACATGGCTTCGGGGCAAACTCTGTGTTGGACTTTGTAGCACAGCAGTTGGTCTTTCACACTCGCTGTGCTGAAAATCTGCCGTGCACATCCTCATAGCTGCCAGACCTTGCAAGAGGCAAATTCTGGGGGGTGCACAGGAGATGTGTATGTCCTTCCTGTTCCTTCCAAAGAGATATTAGCAATAAACTGTGTCAACAGAGAATTCTAGATCCTTTGTCACTATGTGAATTTTAATAGAATAGTAAAATAATTTTTCATTTTAAAAGCTCTTGGCTATTTATAGAATACGTGCTATATGCATAGTTATTCCAGCTGTGCCTTTAAAGAAATGTGACTTTGTTTTTTAATAAATGTAGCAAGCTTGCTTTATAAATAAGCAAAATGTGTTGCTTGTAGTCTATTGATTTCTTACAGTAAGACTGCCGTGCTCACTTCTTTGGAAATCATTTTGGGGTTTATTGTAATTATCTGAGCCTTTTGAATTTAGAACTGTCGTGTATGGGGTCTGAACATGTTATACTGGGAAGCCAAGCAAGGATCACTTTCTCTGTTCCCACAGAGCACAAGCATTGAGGTCCTTACAAACTAACAGTTCGAATATGCTGTTGTTTATAAAATGATTTCTTAGTTATCAACGCATAGACACATTTACACATTTTACACATAAGGGACCAAGGCTGAAAGACATGACGTGGCCTTTATCACACAGTTAGTAGAGAGTCAAGGCTCACAGATAATTTCTTTGACTATATCTTATGTTCCTCTCAGGAGAAGACCAGCCTGGAAGGGCTCACATTTAGATTTTCACAGGAATCTGTTCCTTTCCCTCACCCATGTGTTTTCTTATACCTTTCTTGTATTCTCCAACATCTATTCCATTTCCCTTCCCACCTCCCTTCTCCGGGCTGCAGCCTCTCCAGATATGATAGCTTTTATATTCTCAGCTTTCCACACAGCACAAGAGCTTCTCTCACAGGATGCCAGTGAGAAGTTTCTGTATCCAAGAGGAACACACCTTGGAGTTATGGAAGTTGGGGAAGGACCTGGGGACAGCTCCTTTGCTGCCTGTTTTTCATTTCATGGACCCTGTGGCAGACATGTTTTGGAAATACTCATGAAACTTGTGCATTTTGACCTTAACCTTACTTGTACTCCGTAAAGTATAATTTCTAAGAACAGTTGACTCCGAAGAGCAAATAAGCTTAAGAAACATTGAATTGTATATTCTCCTTGAGATTTACCCTTGTACCTTCACACATAAAAAGTTCTGCCTGAAAGACATCTGCTCTGTGTATTTTGGTTAGTGTATTAAAAATTTATTTGTCCATCAAATGTTTTTTCAATACATTTACTAACACTGTACCACTCTGTAGTCCACCTTTTAGGAAGAATAGATGAAGCAGATCTGCAAGGTTTGGAAGAGCATTGGGCAGGGTATCATGCACTCTGCCCACTCCCCTCTTGCTTTCCCACACTTTAACTGGAATGGACTTTTTTTTCCTTTTTGTTTTCTAGACTGACAGATCCCATTCCTACCACAGAGACTTCAATTGCACCCCGCCAGCGGCCTAAAGCTGGGCAGACTCAGCCAAACCCAGGAATCCTTCCCATTCAGCCAGCCCTCACACCTCGAAAGAGGGCCACGGTTCAGCCTCTACCTCAGGCTGCAGGTGAGTAACAGACTGGTTTGCAAGTCGGTGTATCTCCTCGTTATGGCCATGTTGGCAAACCTGGCTTTGCTTTAGAAATGGAATCCAGAAGCACATAAAGAATTGAGGTGAGCCACCACTGAAATTTATGGCAAGTGGCTGCAAAGGAGAGACCTCTCACTGTATTCTCAGGTGGATGTCAAAGACTGCTGGAGTCTGTTGTCTCTATTTTTTCTCTTCTTGGTCCTTGGGCCAAATTTTGAGAAACATGGAATTCTGTATTCCAAGGTCCTTGGCCTTCTCTCCTTGGACCAAATTTTTTAGTTTGGTCTCTTCATCCTGTACTAGTTCTTTGTTTCATATATTTTTTCTTTGTAAGAAAACTTGGCTCACCTCTTTCTGACACTCACAGAGGAAGATTGTTTCTTTAACGCTTTGCGTCTTAAAGTATCTTGTCCATTTTTTTCACATTCTGTTTCTAATGAGATGAGTGAGTTGTGTGTTTCCTAAAGAGGATTGACTCAGAGTGTCAAGTAGCTGAACACCACCCTCATTTCTCCTACCAGGCAGCTGCTTTTGGTGAATTTGGTGACTACCTACTCACAGCTGGGCATCCACGTGGGGGTTGTGTAAACTACACATAAACACCAGAAAACGCTTTTGTTGTGCACTGTATAATCTGGTGCAGAGATTGTGTTTACGTATGGTAGCAGCAGTTCCAATTGACTGTGTAGATAGTCATGGTGTAGACTATAAGAGTAATAAATGTGATGATGCATAAGGGAAGAGTTTCTGAAGGAGGCAAGTATTGAACCTTGTTATTGAATCCTGTTTTGAAAAAATTGAAGCACATAGTGTTTAGCAAGAAGATAAAAAGACCTTCCAGGTGGAACAGAGCATGTAGAAAGACAGCAAGGAGCCCATGGACCTTGGGATATGCTGCTTATTTATCACCCCCTCTTTATAGCTTTGGCAAGGCAGAAAGCAGTTTGTGTCTGGAGAAGTTTCAAACCCTGATGTGGAGTTTATTCTCATTGCAGGACCCAGCAATCAGCCTGGCCTTTTGGCCAGTGTTCCCCAACCAAAAGCCCAACCCCCACCCAACCAGCCTCTGGCACAATCTCAGCCCAAGCAGCCACAGGCTCCACCCATCCCACAGCCCACACCTTCCACCCAGGCCCAGGCCACACCCCAGCACCAGCAGCAGCAGCTCTTCCTCAAGCAGCAACAGCAGCAGCAACAGCAGCAACCACAGCAGCAGCCACCACAGCAGCCACCACAGCAACCGGCAGGCACATTTTACCAGCAGCAGCCGCAGCAGCCGCAGCAGGCCCAGACTCAGCAGGTAAGGTGGTCAAGTGTGTAACCCATGCTTTGCAAAGCTGTGCCGTGACTGTCCAAAGGCCCGCGAGGTACAGACCCATCTTCCGCGAAGAAGATGCCTTCCTTGGGAAGCGCTGAGATGAGAGAGCAATGAACCATTACATCATTTTTAAAATACCTTTTAAGTCCTCTTTTACTCGTAGGTTCTCGCCCCTTTATTTCCTCTCTTGTGCATTTATGTTTTTATAAAGACTAGGTTATTTGTGCTGAGGCATTTTCGGCATTCTGGATTTGGCCTGGTTGTCTTGTGGTGCCATTTGTTAAGATGTTCCTCTCTCCTCTGTATAAATTGGTAATTTCTTGAAGGCTGCTCAGTGTTCAGTTCAGCCTGACAGCTCTGTGTTTTTTATCTGTCACAGTGGGAGACCAGTGCTTGTCCTCTTTTTTATTAATAGCAAGACCAGTGTGTTGAAGTGTTGTCTATCTCATCTATTTTTTCAGTGTTCCTTGTTAGCTTAGCATCCGTTGCTGATTATTTCCTAAGTGTTAATTCACTAGGGATGGTAAAATGTTATTCTAGCTTTCCCTCTTAATTTCAGGGCTGGAATTTTTCTGTGAAGACCTTTTTTCATCAGCTATTTAGTTGTCCTATGGTAATTTGTACAGAACCGGCAAGAAAAATGCTTAATCCATTCCCCCTTTGTTTACCAATTTTCAGAATGAGTTTGTTCACTGTATCATCCAAAGGTGACAATAAGGCTTTTGTTTTGTGTTATCACAAATTCATGGATTTTAATGTATTTCATATCTTCCAATAGATTTCAGTTTTTAAAAATTTGTTTATTTTGATATTCAAATTATCCTAACTTTAGCTAGGGAAAGTCCTTTCAAATTGTCTTCCTGGCAAGCTGAAGCCCTGAGTTCAATTCCCTGTACCAAAAAAAAAAAAAAAAAAAGCCAACAACAACAAAAAACAACGTAATGTCTTCTGGGGTCCTTTGGATGTGATTCCAGGAGTCTTTAATGATTCCCTTGCCATCAAGCAGGGCAGCTTGTTCTAGTATCATTGTACCTCAACCTGAAAGCATCCATTTCTCTAAGAAGCTGTTCGACTTAGATAGAAATGCTATTTAGAGACCACAGTTTGGTGCTAGAGATACTCATTAATGGGTATGTGGTTGTGTCTAGGCCACTTTAATGGGCAATGAGAAAATCTGTTTTGTTATATTAGAAAATACACATTATGAATTCAGTTATATTTCTAAGGATTTGTAATTATAAGATTTCTGTTTAGCTTCTTGGGCTTTGTTGTGTTTTTGTTGTTGTTGTTCTTTGGTATCAGGAATCAAACTCAGGACCTCATGCTTGCCAGGCAGGTGCTGCACCACTGAACTAAATCTCCAGCCCTGTTGGTTTTTTCTTATCTGAGACTCTTGATGCCTAACAGCGTTAGCATAATTAATTAATTAATTTTTAGTTTCAGGATAATCATACCAATATGATTACTAAAAAGCAGTTTAGAATTTATTTTCCCTTTTTACCCATAGAGTGCTTAGCACATTATTCCCTGGGGAGTTTAACTACCAATTTTATCCACAGCTTTATTTGCTTCATTTTGTTTTTAGTTTTTAGTTATTGTTTTTAAAATTTTGGTTTAATTTTGTTTAAAAAATATGTAAATCATACATAGTTTAACAGTTAAATGTATAAAATTCTCTCCTCTTTAATCCTTAAGTAGAGGTGTCCCTCTTTCCTGTTTATAACCTGAGAGTGTCCATTTGATACCTTTCAGGATTTATCATAGTTTGTTCTGTTTCCTCAGCATGTGCATTGTGTCCAGCATTTTGCTATTATAAATAGGCAGGTATTTTGACCTCTGCTTTTCTTTTTAAACTCTTGAACTTTGCCCCTATACATAAACAGTATCCTCTCAATTAACTCTATAATGAAGTAACAGAATTTAGGGTGTTCCAAGACAAGATCCTGTCTTTTATTCACCTTACTTTGAACAGGCCCATATTTTGAGTTCCGTTTGTGTGCACCTGGCACATAGTCTCTAAAGTGGGGATAAGAGGGACATATAAGACGTGTCATAAAGCTGGGCACAGTGGTGCATCCGTAGTCCTAGGAACCTGGGAGGCTGAGGTGGGAGCATTACTTGATTCCAGGATCTCAAAACCAGACTGGGCAACATAGCAAGACCTTCTAAAAAACAATAAATAAATAAAATAAGACAAACTATGTAGGAAGGTTGATGCAGAAGGATTGTTTAAGCCCACAAATTCAAAATGAGCATTGGCAGCACTGGGAAAACCTTCGCCACCAATCTTAAAAAGAAGAAGAAGAAGAAGAAGAGTGGGAGGAGGGAGATGCTGTATCAGAGCATATACTAAATACGCTGAATGTGTGGTTGGGTTTCATAAAGATAGGGCTGTTGGACAACAATTTTGAGAAAGACTTGAAAGGATTCAATAGCTGGGTTACATTTACGTTATTCTTTAAAGTGTCATCATTGTTTCATCTGCTCATGCAGGGAATTGTTTTAAACTTGGCTGCTTCAAAACTCTTTATAGGAAGAATTCTTCTCTTTGGATGATCACTTACTGCTTCTGTTAGCATAGAGTCACATGATGTTCATCAGGAGCTTCTCTTGGGTGAGGCCTGGAAACCCACTTTGAAGGCCAGGCTAGTGCAGTGGAAAGGGCCTTGCTTGTTGTGTAAGGTGCTGCTGGATTTATTTTAACGCCCTGAAGTTCCTGTCATGAGTTTTCAGGCCTGGAGAAAAGACTTCTGCCCGCCCTTGCCTTTACCTTCAGTGCTGGTCTCCCTCGTTTTTGAGGCATCCGATAATGTCATTTGTGAACCTGGCGTGTGGCAGGTTCTTGCTCTCCTCCTCATGGCTTGCCACTCTCTCCTGCTCAGTTTCAGGCAGTACATCCACCAAGCCAGCAAGCAGCGATTTCTCAGTTCCCTGTGGTGTCCCAGGGAGGCTCTCAGCAGCAGCTGATACAGAACTTCTACCAGCAGCAGCAGCAGCAGCAGCAACAGCAGCAGCAGCTGGCCACACCCCTGCACCAACAACAGCTGATGACTCAGCAGGCTGCCCTGCAGCCCAAGACCGCGGTGGTGGTGCCGCAGCCCCAGGCACAGCCGACCGCAGCCCCGCAGCCAACCCCTGCCCAGGAGCCTGCGGTAAGAAGCAGCCAGGGCCCAGCGGAAAGCCAGAAGAGGGTTGTGCAGTGAGGGCTGGGGGAAGGGGCAGGAGAAGGGCAGCAGCAGCTGTGAGGGGGCCTCGGACTCAAGTGAGGTTGCCTCGTCATCCTGCTTAAAATATTGGATCTTTCCTTGATAGATCCAAGAACAGTGTGTGGTATTCTGCAGAAAGTAGTTTTCAAAAAACTGATTGTAGAACATCTTGTTTATCACCGTGAAACGGGGCTGCAGGGAGAAGCTGCTTATTGTCTCTGTCAGTGCTCCTGTGGAACACTCAACGACCTAGGATGAGAGCGAATCTCTTTCCCTTCTTCAAGGGCCAGTATGATCCATTATGCCCTCCTCAGTCTCTAGAGGTTTACCTAGGCTCCACCTTTATGCTGAGTCCTCGCACCGGTGTGTTTATTCTCTGTCTCCAGTGGCCTCACTAGCCACGTCATCTGAGTCTACCGTGCAGCACCCTTCAAGGGTCTGCTTGCCTGAAACCATTTGCCATGGTGCAGTGAGCATCTGCCTGAACATTCGTTGGAGGATCCTGTCAGTTTAGAAAGCAGGTATGTTCACATTTAGATAATGGCTGGATATAGCGTCTGAGCCCTGCCCTGATTGATCTCCAGGTTTCAGCATACTCAGGCACTCTTGCTTTGGCCTTTAATAAGTGACCTTTATTCTGTACTCAGAGTTTTCTGAGTGATCGTGATAGAAAAGTTCTATAGTAATAGAGAAAGACAATTTGCATACCTAGCAATGTGGTAGCTACTGTCTTATTCCTAGGGAAGTCCAACTACTAGATGAATGAAGAAAAGGTAAGAAACCATCTTTCTGAGGATTGGTTTCTAATAAAGTTGTGTCTCCATCTTAACCAGAAAACCTCCATCTCTTCAAAAGAAGCAGTACCAGAAATAGGTTGTCTTTTTAAAATCCCAGCTAAGTGTGTGTCAGTGCCTTCACGCCTTTCTTCCTGAAACAACACAGTTGTGTGGTAGACAGTTACTCTGTGTTCTTAACAAAAGAACATTCTCCCGGTTGGTGGAAAAAGTTTTTCTAAAAAATTATTACATGAAGTAGCTAGCTACCAGGGTTCTTTTTTTTGCTGGTGAGGGGTACCTGAACAATTGGGATGAAGCCTGAACCCAGTACCACTGGCTCCCCCGACATTTTTAAGTTTTTTTATTTTGAAACAAGTTACCTCGGCTGAGCTCAAATTTGTGATCTTCCTGTCTCAGCCTCCCAGAGTGCTGGGATTACAGGCATGAACCACCATGCCTGGCTTAGAAGGATCTTAATTGTACGGTTTTGTCTCTTGATTTTATGGAATTGGAAACTGAGGCCCAGACTAGAAAGTGACTGCCCAAGACAGGCAGAATGACAGTAACAAAGCCAAAGCAAGAAACAATCCTAATCTGTGTTTAAAGATACTTACCTGGGTGCTCACTTTGGCGGCACATATACTAAAATTGGAATGACAGAGATTAGCACGGCCCCTGCACAAGAATGACACACAAACTTGTGAAGTGTTCCATATTTTTTCAATAAAGAGCTTTCCTGTGACCCTCAGCCATGTCACCAAAAAAAAAGATACTTACCCAGGGTGATGAGTTGCCCACTGGTACTGACTGCACTTTCTACAAGGTCCCCCTTGCTTTCCCTGGGCAAAGTGTCCACTGTCTTAGAATGAGGCTAATCCTTCTTCGTGTTTCCTGGATGAAAAAGCACTGTGAGCAATGTGCTCTGGGGTAGTTGGTTTAAGTGATGTGGGGTGCAGAATACAGGAACCGACGGTGCTTCAGCCATGAGCCATGGAACTGTCCAGCTTTGCCGTTCCTGTGTCACTAACTTGTGGGGGACTGGGCATGAAGCTCACTGGTAGGGTACCTGCCTAGCATGTGTGAGGCACTGGGTTCCATCCTCAGTACTACAAAAAAGGAAAACAAAATAGAGAAGCAAGGGAGTGAATTTCAATAACACCCTGTGGCATCTTGAAGCAATAGTTGGCAAAGGGGAAATGGCCATCTGCCCTTAGTGTTCATTTCATTCTTATGAATAACAGGCCAAACAGCGCCTGCCTGGTAAGCACAAGGTCGTGAGTTCGATTCCCGGTACTGGAAAAAAAAAAAAAAAGAAAAACAGGCCAAAGATGGAAGCCATCTAAATTGTAAAGAGCCCAGCTGTTAAAAACCATGGGTATAAAGTCTATACGATCGTACAGAAAAAAATGCTTATAAGGTAATAGTACAAGAGTTGTGAAACAGGAAAAAGTAGGTACTTGAAAAGAGGCATCTTTAAGGCACCACAAAGATAAGAATAGTTGCATTACAGTGGTGGAATGGAACGCTCTTCTCTATATTCTAACTTCCTTTGATGTGATTCTACTCTGTAATCACATATTTTGTATTTTTAAAAGTCTCCTGCAAGATAGGTGCCAGCGTCTTCCTTTTATCATCTCTCTCATGTTCCATCTCTTCCTCCCCCTTTCTAATCCTGCCCTTGGATGAGGAAGTATCACGATGTTGAAACATCCTGAGAGGCAGTCAGAGGCAAGGATTCTTCTTTCCGTTCATCTTGTGACCTTGAATGAACACTCAGCCTCAGTGGGCACTGGAATCTCATCTTTAATATCCCTTTCAGCTTGCACTCTTTGATTCTAAATGCAAATAAAAGTGCCTGACAGATTTATTGTGAGCAGTAGCCCAACAAGTTGCAGCTGCTTTGTGATACAGACTGAGTATCCCTTGCCCAACATGTTTGGGACTGAAAGTGTTTCACAGCATGAAATATTTGTTTATAGAAATGAGAGGTCTTAGGGATGGAACCCAATTTAAACACGATATTCATTTGTTTCATAAGTATTTATGCATGAAACCTGGTGATAATTTTATACAGTAATTCCAGTGCACTTGTGTTTTGACTGCCACCTGTCACATGAAGTCATTGTGGTGTTTTCTGTATGTGGCATCATGTTGGCATTCAAAAAGGTGTAGATTTTGGAGCATTTGGGGTTCCAGATTAGAAATGTTCAACCTGAGGGGAAGGAGGGGTGAAAAGATTTAAGATGTATCTGTACATGTACCAAAAACCCACAGTGAATGTAAACATGAACTAAAAATAAAAAAATAGTAATTATAGCAATAATAATGAAAATGGGAAAAGGGGATTTACAGATGGGGAGGGAGCAAGGTGGGTGGGGAGGGGAGGGGGATTAAACAAGAATCGAAGTGTGTTATGTACATGTACCTACTCCCTAAGATAAATGTAAACTTCACTACTGCCAACATGTACTAATAAAATGGAAATTTTAAAAGAATAAATAAAGGAAATGTTCCCCCTGTGGCTGGGCTGGGAGTATAACTTGGTGATACAGTGCTTGCCTAGGCCCTGGGTTCATCCCCAGCATGGGGTGGGGACTGGGATTCACCCTGTAGTAGACTGCTGTTGTAGGGGAAGAAGCACCAGCTCCTCGGGATACTGCATGTGGAGAATAGGTGAGAGGAGGGAAAATGCTCTCCAAGTATTACTGAGTCCTCATCCTAAAGGGATCACCAGTGAAGTATACTTTTCAGAGTAACGAATGTCTGATGAGACCAGCCAACCCACTTCTGTCCGTAAAGCACTCTGGCCCCTGCAAATGTTGGCAGGTGCAGCCCTGGACCGCTACAGGATGTTGTGGAGACAGAGCTCTTGTTTTCACAGAGCATTCTGCATCTCCCTCAGTGGGGCAGCTGTGTTACCCTTCTCATCTTAGTTTGATGGGTACTGAAACATTCTATTTTACCATCAGCCTGTTGGTGAAGTGGCTGGTATACTTTCAGAGGTACATGAGTGGTCCAAGTCCTGGGGACCACGTGAGTGTAGGCCTCTGTGTTGTAGGTGCCCGACCAAAGTAGCTGGATACTCTGAGGGTGGTTCCTCAGCTCTTTCAAGACCTGCCCTTGGAGAAGCAGAATGTGAGAGCCGAGCAGCTGTGTGCAAGGCAGCTCCAACCTGAAAGGGAGTGGGGGAAGGAATGGTTAAATCCCGGGGCATCTGATACCCTACGTCAGTGATGACGAACATTTTAGAGCTTTCAGTGATAGCAGACAGCCCGCTGCTGTGGGATAGTTTGCCGCTGCCCTGAGTCGTTTTATCTCTAGGCTGATGGAATTCAGGAAAGGCGCCTGTGTGAACGTTTTGTTGTTGTTCACTTTCCTTGATAGAGGCAGCGTATACTGAAGGGCCATCATGTAGTCACAGCGAGACCCCCACCTGTTTATTATTCTTTAATTTGGCCCTCGTTCTGAAAATGGTCCACATTTCAGGAGTCCCCGTATTACTGGTTCAGTCATCAAAAAAAAATTTTTCTTCTTATATTTGCTGCTAGCTCTTCAGTGACGTTCCTAAAGTGAAGGTTAGAACAAGCAAATTTCACTGAGCCAGTGTTGTACATTTTCTCCGAGGTTGCCACAGAAATAGAATCTTAGAGACCCGTCCTGTCAATGAAATGAAGAGCCTTAATAACAGAACAAAAAAGTACTACCGTGTTTCAATCACAGTCGAATTTTGTCTGATTCATGCCTGACTGGCAGCCTCGGCGATGGCAGAGTCAGGGCCTCTTAGCAGAAATCATTCAGCTTAGATGCGTTGTAGCTGGAAGTGTGTCTTCTTCGGCTTCTGACTGCAGTGAATGGTAAGATTAATTGCCTGCTCTTTGGGCACATACTGAATAGTTGCTGTGACCCGAGAAGCAGAAAGAGGTCCTTTCAGATACAGTCTTGATCTTTAGAGCTAAGAATACCCTTTGCAGCCTTACGCTCTGAGCTGAGTTTCATGTGGTTATCCTATATGTTATTGCTTAGGAAGACTCAATTTATATGTAAGTGCCGGGCACATATCCTGTTGGTCTCAGTCTCTGAGTTGCAGCTCAGATTATCAGAGCCTGTTTTTTTCTTTCTGGATGTTATCAATAAATTTCACCATTTGAGTCCATGTGACATTTTTTGTTATGCTTATATCTTTATTTTCCTTTTCCTCCTTTAAAAAAAAAAAAAATAATAATGACACCCTTTCCATTTCTCTCTATAGCAGATTCAAGCCCCAGTAAGACAACAGCCAAAGGTTCAGACAACTCCACCTCCTACCATCCAGGGGCAGAAAGTTGGATCTCTCACTCCTCCATCATCCCCCAAAACTCAACGTGCAGGGCACAGGAGAATTCTCAGTGATGTAACGCACAGCGCAGTCTTTGGGGTCCCTGCCAGCAAATCGACCCAGCTGCTCCAGGCAGCTGCAGCTGAGGCCAGTCTGAATAAGTCCAAGTATGTGGCGCTTCCCCTTTGTTCTTCTTGCCTTGTGGGCCGCATCCGCCCTGGGCTGTTATTGTGTGGTTCTTTGCATAAGCATATATGTGTGTACATATATGTGTAGTCGTGCATGTCTGTGTTTGAAAGAAACTATGCATTTGTCTGCAATGTAAAGCATGCATTTTTATGTGCACTGGACTGATCATAAGAAATCATTTCCTACTTGGCCCACTGTTTTTGTTGTCTCATTGGTTCAATGTTCTGCACAGTATAGTGTTGCCCAAACTCTTGATCTGACCAAGCCTCTCCATGCTGAGAGTCTTTCATTTGCCCCCATTGCTTATAGGATGATACCTGAGCCCACCGATTACCACAGCAAGGCCTATCATACCCAGGCATGGACTCGCCACCCTTCACCTTCACAAGCCCTTGGCTTAACTCGTGCCATCTCCTGGAACTGCTGTTCTCCTTGTCCCCAAACAAATGCTCACTTATCCTTCAAGAGATAACTGCGCTTTTCTGTGACCTTTCCTTTGATATATCATTTTATCTGATGTTTTGAGCATGGATCACATTGCTTTATCATTAATTATTTGTATATCTGGCTGACAAAGCCCAAGTTCTGCAAGACAAGGATTTTGTTTTAGTCAGCCTTTTTAAACACAGTGGCTGGCTCTGAGTCTAATAGGAAGCAGACTTCGGAAAGGGCTGATTGAGTAAATGCAGTTTCACACCCTCAGCTGTCTTAGGACCATGTACTCTGAGGTTGAAAACTCATTAAGTCAAAGAGACTAGAAAAAAAATGATGATACCTTGACATGCAGAATAGTGGTAGCTGTCTTTATTTCTTCTTGTGGTGGTGGCTGTTAATGCTGTGCATGCTAGATCCTGAAAGATGAAAGGCAGCCTGAAGACCTCAGTCGCAGGCGTTCAGAAGTCTGTTGTAGATGTCGTGGTCACCACAAGGTATACAAACCTAAAAACATGTTACTGAGGGATCCTAAACTAAAGGGCCTTGCAGAGAGAGTGAAAAATTAAGCAGGAGATTAAAGAAGTAGTGGAAGACATAGGAGTTATGAAGGAAGAGAGGGTAATTTCACAGAATAGAAAGGGAGTGCATGGAAACTTCAGTTGTAGTGGAAAGACCTTTTTGGTAAAACACAGTGAAACATGATGTTTTGATTCAAATTAATTTGATCCTGGAACCAAGAAAAAATAGTTTTGCTCTTTTCGTTTTGTCCAACTTTTATATGCGTTTTTTATTTCATGGGGGTGGGAACCTACCTAGGTCTGCAACCACCACTCCATCAGGCTCTCCTCGGACCTCCCAACAAAACGTCTGTAATCCTTCAGAAGGTCCTACATGGAACCCCTTTGATGACGACAATTTCTCCAAACTCACAGCTGAAGAACTGCTAAACAAGGACTTTGCCAAGCTAGGGGAAGGTGAGGAAGTCATATCTTCTTTTTTCCTACTTTCTTATCTGTGTATATTACTTATACAGATTAGTGGATTTCATTTGTACATGCACATAACATCCTAATCATTCCTCTTTCCCATCACCCCTCTCACCCCACCCTACCCCCTAGTTTCACCTTTTGGAGGGAGTGGTTTCAATGTGCATAGCGTATTTTGGTCGTGTTCATCTGCTCTGTTAGGTACCCCTGCACCCCTCTACATTCCCTTCCTCTTATCTAAGAATAGTCTCCCTTCTTTCCTGACATCCGTTTTAGATTCCACATTCTAGGGAGAACATGCAATGTCTGTCTTTCTGAGTCTGCTTATTTCACTCAACATGATCATCTCCAGACCCATCCATTTTCACCAGATGACAAAATTTTATTCTTTTTGTGGCTGAATAATACTCCATTGTGTATAGATACCGTTTTTTTCTTTATCTACCTATCGGTTCATAGGCACTTAGGCTGGCTCTATATCTTGGCTATTGTATATTGTTTATCCATAATAAACATGCAGGTAGCCAGGTATTAAACCTTTGAGTATATATATATTTTGTTGTTGTTGTTGTTTTGTTTTTTTTTGTTTTTTGTTTTTTTTTGTTGTTGTTTTTGTCTTTTTGAGACAGGGTCTTGTGCAGTTCAGGCCAGCCGTGAGCTCACTTTGTAGCCCAGGCTGGTCTTGAACTCCCAACGATCCTCCTGCCTCAGCCTCCCGAGTGCTAGGATTACAGGCATGCACCACCATGCCTGGCTACCTTTGAGTATATAAAGGAGTGATATAGCTGGGTCAGACAGTAGCTCTATTTTTAGTTCTTTGAGGAACCTCCATACTGATTTCCGTAATGACTGTACTAATTGCATTCCCACTAGCAGTATTAGAAGGGTTCCTTTGTCTCACACGCTTGCCAGCATTTATTGTTTTTTGTGTTCTTGATGAAGCCATTCCAACTGGCATGAGATGGAATCTCAGTGTAGTTTTGATTAGCACTTCCCATTCAAGTCGTTTTCTGTGATTCTTGGTTGTGAATTTTCTGTACTCAGAAGTAGGCAGGGGTTAGAATGAGGGATGTGCTTGTGCACATATTGGCCTGGGCCTGATGCTCAGAGGCTTGATTTCAAAGTACGCATACAAGCCAAATTTTATTTTTATCACAGTACCGAAGTCTTTTCATCTTCAGGAAATCTTGACCTGTCGTAGGAGGCAGCAAGGAGAGGCACTTTTTCAAAAAAGAATAATTACGTTTATTTGGAAATAAAATAGCATTGCAGTGGAAATATACATGCCATAATAAATCATGAGCACATTTAAGGAGGACGAGGGAAAACTATTAAAGTTGAAGTGAGAAGAGTTATGTAAAATGTTTTGACAGTAATCGTTGACTAGAAGTGTTAATATCAAGGGTGAGGCCAGTCGGAACTTCAACAGGCAGCTGCTAGGCAGCTGTCCTTGCGAGAGTATTCTTTTGTGTAGGTTGTGGCGGCCTTGTGCAGTGTTGTGGATCCAGTAGTCCTTTGTGACTAGCTCTTGTTAGCAGACGTACATACATGAGACCTTCTCCTTCAAAGCTGCACCTTATTTTTTTGTTAGAGTTGACACAAGTGAGCTTTATTCTTTTTTTTAAATTTTTTTTCTCAGTACGCATTTGCAGTACGTAAGGCTTGGATCCGTGGTGGGGCCTCAGTGCGTGTGTGCGACACGTCTTCTTTCATCTCCTCGCCCTCCGCCTGCTCCCTCCTCTCTCCATCTCCTCCCCTTTCCTTTTGCGGAAGATTTATCTCCCCATAGAGAAGAAGCTGCTAGGAGAGATTCCGTGGCATAAAGCAGGATAATGACGGCAAGCTGGGTTACTCCTGGGCGGGCCGTGGTGATCTCCTCCTCCTCACAGTTGGGTTTCTTGTCCCAGGAAGTAGTGACTGCTTGTCCGTGAGAGCGTGAGTGTGCCTTCACATGGGTACTGAACCTCTATGAGCATAGCTCTGTGTTGTTGTTCATTGACACAGAAAAGAGGCTTTGCAAATAAAAGATAAATTTCTGGCTGGATGTGATGGTGCATGCCTATAATCCTGGCTACTTGGGAGACTGAAGCAAGAAGGCAGCTTGGCAAGGCCCTGTCTCAAAATAAAATAATAAAAATGGTTGGGGTGTAGCTCAGTGGTAGAATTCTTGCCTAGCGTGCACAAGGCCCTGCTTTCAATCCCTAGTACCGCCAAAATATAGAGAGATAGACTTTTCCCTTCAAAATTCACAATCTAATATGGAAGGCGGGACACATATGCACACCACACACTTTGGAACAACAGATGCATCTGGGAAAATTCTCTACTAAGCAATTGGAGAAGGGTGCCCCAGTTTATGCAAGAACACAGCTAAAGGGATGGTCAGAACCAAGTGAGTGATTTGAACTGTTGACTGGTTGTGTTAGCTTTGGCTGTTATTTTATAGGAATGTTTTAAAAACCCATATAACTTCCCTGCCTTTTTAAACGGAAGATAAGGACATAGGGTTTGACTTTCCTTGATAACTCACTTTTGATGTGTTTGTACTGGTTTTTGACCTGGGCCATAAACAGAAATACCTTCAAGGACTACTGGAAACTAGTTTTTTGTACCTAACTAGCCCCCAAATTTTAAAATTCTGTTTGTAATAATTTCCTCTTTTCTTGCTGCTCATCTCTTGGCTTTCACGTGACACTGCTGCCGTTACAGCTGTCCTTCCTGGCACCTCACTGCTGCCGTCTCCGCCGTCCTCCCTCCCTTCCTGCTCTACTTCCCACATGGACACAGAGCACTAGCACAGTACAGTTACATAAAGTAAGACTCTAGCCGAGGGCTGAAGGTGTTCTGATCTGAGGAATGCGCTTGAGCTGGAGGGCTTTAGTTCTGTGGTCTCTCGTTTCTTTTTCTTTTCACTTAGTTACCTTAAAAACCTTAATTTGTTATAATACACATAACAGAATATTTACCATTTTAGCCACTTTTAAGCGTCTAGTTCAGTAGTGCAGCAGTTCACTCTTGCACGACCCCTCTCCAGAACTTTTTCCATCTTATAAAACTGACTTGCAGTCTCTTGATCCTTAAGAATTTTCTTCCTTTTCTTAGTTATTTCAGTGACTAAACAAGGACCTCTGAATAGCCCAGGTGCTGCGAGCATGCAGTGAAAGAGTCCGGTGTGGAAGGCGCTCAGAGGTTGCCCTGCACCCTCCCGCGTGTGTGCCTCTCAGGATTCTGGTAAAAGGATCCTAGCAGTGCTTTGTCCTTGCAGGCAAACATCCGGACAAGCTCGGCGGCTCAGCAGAGAGTTTGATCCCAGGTTTCCTGTCGACCCAGGGTGATGCTTTTGCCACTTCCTCATTTTCTGCTGGAACTGGTGAGTATGGAACAGGTTCTTTAGGATAACTTGAGGAATTCTAAGAATTAGATTTTCTGTCTGATATCAGAGACCCTAAGCTATGTTTATGTGTGTGTTTACTTTGGAGGGTGAGGAAGGTATTTTTAATGAGTTTTTTTTTAATTATAGAAGCAATAATATAAGACTTTTTTCCCTTTTATTAATTATACATTTTATATTACAAATTATACAGGTTTATCATATAAAAGTAATTTATAGAGAAGGAAGTTAAAATCCCCCATGAACTCACCACCAAGAGATAGCACAGGGTTACCATCCTGATGTCAGTTAGGCATTAACATGCTCATGATGGGGCCATAATGTGTATGTCTCGCTGCTGGGAGGCTCTGATTTGAATTCTATTGTCTAATGTTAAATAGCCCAATGGGATGGTCATGCATTCACATATGTACATTATTGATTCAAGCCAGTGGGAACAGACTAACCTTTTTAGAATCATAGATAGCTTTATGAATCTGGTGAAAGTTGTATCTCACTCACCAAAATGCATATGACCACAGTTTGTATAATTTTATCTATTTATTTATTTATTTATTTATTTTTAGTTTGTATAATTTTAGGCCTCTGATATATGTAGTCATATTTTAAAGCCTAATGTTTTCACTTAATAAATCTGACACATTTCCCCTGCTCATGAAAGAAGCTCCTAAATGTTACTTTAAAAATATCTGCATTATAACCGGGCGTAGTGGCCATGCCTGTAATCTAGCACTCAGTAGGCTGAAGCAGGAGGATCATTGTGAGTTTGAGGCCAGCCTGGGCTACCTAGTGAATTAAAGACCAGCCTGAACTACATAGCGAGACCCTGTCTCAAAAAAACCGCTAAAATTTTTTAAAAATAAAATAAAATTTAAATTAATTAAATTTCTTTATGTAGGTAGCTACTAATATATTTAAATAATTGTAAATCCCTCCTTTCTTAAAGCAATATCTTTTAGTGTTTTCTGTGGGTGGTCATTTTTCTTATTAATTTTCAGGAGCTCTGCTTATGTATTGTAAATGTCTTTGTCAGTCTGTCCTTTGTATTGTGTATGAGCTCATCTGATCCTAACAGCCCTTGAAATTGGTTTATGATCCCCACATTATTACAGCCAAGGTGACTGAGGCACAGAAAGTCTTTTCCAGGGTTACCTGCTGGCGAGTAGGAGAGGTGCCTCTCTCAGGTTTTCTGCCTCTTAATGAGGCAGATTTAGTAATTTCTTTTTCTAGAAAGTCATCCACAGTTTCAAGATTTTAAAATTAAAAAAGAACGTCGTATGTCAGACTTTTATAGTATTTTCTTTGTGTACCTCAATTTTAATCGAATGAATTGTATGTTTATTGGTAACTGTAGCTAAAGATTTACTGCTTTGTAGCTTTTTAAAACTAACCCTTAGATTTATAAAATCTACAGATTTGGAGGTTTCAGAGGTTTTGTTGGCCACATGGGCCTGTGGTATGACCATACATCATGGTAGCAAACACATGGCAGAACAAAGCTGCTCACTTGGCCAGGATACAAAAGAGAGAGGAAGAGGAAGAGACCAGGGCCCCACCATCCTCTTTGAGGACATATCCCAGATGACCTAGAGCCTCTCACTAAGCCCACCTCTCATAGTTTCCAACATTTTCCAGTTGTACTAAACTGAGGGCCAAGCTCATAGTATATGGGCCTATAGGGGACACCCTAGACCCAGACTGTAGCAGGGCAGTCTAGGTAACAGTGTAAGTGTCAGTGATACTGCACTGCTGTTGTATACAGTATTTTTATTGGGGGCAGCTGGATACAAGGTTCACTCTTTATATTGCGATTATTTAATTCTTTCAAATAAAACATTACTCTAAAACACAATTATAAATGGGAGAAATGAGATTTTAATTAATGAACACACTGAATACTGACGTGTAATGTAAAGAATGCTAAAGTAGACAGGAAGAGTCCTGGGTTCTGATCCTAGCTCTGCTCATGGACCACTGGCTGATCTCTTAATTGGGGAAAATAAAAAAATTGTGTACAAAATTCTAAGACCTCTTCAAGCTTTTATATTCCTTATGGTATGCATGTTTCTGTAAACCTATAGTTTGCTAAATGAAGAATGAATTGTACATTAGATATAGCCCAGAGTTTAGGGCTTATCTAACTCCACAGTACACAAGAAGTCTATTTCTTCCTCTTCCCATGTGTTTGCCTACTACTGTAATAGACATTACGGTAATACAATAAGATGTAGTCTCTAAAGGACCTCCAGGGGTTAATGGGTACATAGGAAGTAGTTATACACCTGTGCTAGTGCTCATACGTCAAAATGTGTAATATGGACAGTAATTCCTAGAGCAGTTCTGAAAGAGATGCCTGTACTCTGCAGTGCCCAAGGAAGAAGTAGAAGTTCACACGTATGAATATCCTGGTTTGATCGTTCACTGTATCTCATCGTTTGTTACAAGGACCACGTTGTACAGCTCAGATACTCTGCTCGTACACTGGGCTATTTCCACTCTCCCTTTATTCTGTCTCTAAGTTTGAACTTACTCTGTTATTTAAGCTGTTGGGTTAGTAGATGGGCAGTTCCTCTAGGTTTACTTGATGCTCTCTGATTTTCTCATTTTTCTCTCCTGGCCCTCTTTCCCCTCCAATCAACTCCAGCTGAAAAAAGGAAGGGTGGGCAGACTGTGGATTCTGGCGTCCCACTTCTAAGTGTGTCTGATCCTTTCATTCCTCTTCAGGTACCTGATGCACCAGGTAGGTAAACAGAACTGATCTAAGGTTAAGCAGCTTGATTTTTATGTCCCATGATCTCTGGAGAGGTGTTTTAAACATTCCATGAAAAAGATGTAAATTCTAATTTTTTATTGTTGAGACAAGATCTCACTAGATAGTTCAGGCTGGCCTTCAATTCACTTTGTAGTCCAGGCTGTCCTTAAACTTGTGGGAATTTCTCCTTCCTCAGTCTCCTGGCTGCTGTGATTGCAGGTGTGTGTCACCATGCCTGGCTTGCATATTTTTATTGTGTCTCAGTAAAAAGGACAAACTTACTTGGAAGGTACCAGGTAGCTCTTAGCAAGATAGTAAAATCAGTTGAGGTTATGTACCATGTCATAGCAGTGTTCTGTTTTTCATCTTAGTTGTGTTCATGGCAGTGAGGGCCTATATATCAGAAAGCATTAATGCAGTGTGATTATAGTATTGTAGTGTAGAACCTATAAAGATATGATAAAAGGAACAAAATACAAATAGTGGATATAGTGTTATGGTGGGATTGTGGGTAACTTCCTATGCAGTACCTATTTTTTATAAGGTACTTTTACATAATAAAAGTACACAGTAAGGCTCTGTCACTTCCTGAAAACCTTCTGGGCCAGCTCCTTCATCAATACAGTAAGTCGGACTACAGAAGTTCGCATATTCCTCTCTATGTGCCATATTCCCTGATTTTTAAGGAGGTAGTTTGAAAAGTTAAGAAATGGTTAGCGCGTTCTGATTGAAACAGCTTTTGAAATAATTGGATGTTTTCTGTTTGGAGTTCATGACTGCCAAATATTCCCTTTCTGCTCCCCTCCCCGTACTGTACTATTTAGGTATAGGGGGTGAGGAATGAGAGTCTCCTATTCTGATAAAACAAATTAATCCAGCTCTTTAAAAGGAGCTGGTGGGTCATTTTGCTTCATTTTGCCTTTTTTCTCATTTTTATCCTTTCCAGGTCTTCACCTTGAACTGATAGGTTTTTCTTCTCTTCCAGAATGTTAAAGGCATTTGATTGTTTGCTTCATGATTGGAAGTGACTGTGATGTTCAGATCCTTGACTTACTAAGACAGGCTACAGCTAGAGTATAAGAGCAGCTTTCGTTTCTTTAGGCAGTTTATTCACCCTTCTAAGGGAACGTTAACACTTGCCTTGATCAGATTGTGGCATTAACTTCATTGCTTACTGGACATGGATGTAGCTCAAAAAATATCTGAAATCACCAAGGAATGCTCAGTAGAGGCTGATTAAAGAAAAGAAAGGAATCAAGTAGAGGCCCATTTCTCTTTTTGTAACCTTCAGATGTTCCTGGCTGTACCTACAAAGGCAGTTGTGAGCAGGTTGGAAAGGTGTACGCGACAAAGTCAAGCTAGGGCTCACTGGCCTCTTTTCCTCCCTGCTGTAGTTAGACAAGGAAGAGGGGCTATGGAGCATTGTCCCTTTGATATCCCCCCTTGCTTTGCTGTGGCCAAGATAACCTACACCTGCAGAGAGGATGAGGGCCCTCAGGCAAGCGGCTGTCCTTTGCAGGTGTCATAGGAGTCCTCCGGACCAGGGCCACTGGGGACCGAGGGACGCAAGTCTCGTAGCTCTTGAGATTGCTCCAGGTTGTAGAGACAAGGCTGGGGCATCCAAGCCAGCCAGCTGCTACCCTGCCCTCCTTATTGCCATCTTTCCTGTCTCCTGTTCTGCCCTACTTCTCTCTCTCTTTTTTTTTTGGGGGGGGGGATCTTTTTGAGAGAGGGTCTCACTGTGCAGTTCAGACTGGCCTTGAGCTCACTTTGTAGCCCAGGCTGGTCTCAAACTCACAACAATCCTCCTGCCTCAGCCTCCCAAGTGCTGGGATTACAGGCATGAGCCACCACGCCTGGTGTGCCCTACATCTCTCATTGTGGAGAATTCCTACAAATTGTTAGTGGTGTACACATTAAAGAAGCTTTGAAGGGGCTGGGAATTTAGCTCAGCGGCACAGTGCCTGCCTGGCAAGCACAAGGTCGTGAGTTCGATTCCCGGTACTGGAAAAAAAAAAAAAAAAAAAAAAGCTTTGAGCACTCTTGGATTTTAAGGGAAAATCTATTCGAGTGGGACAGTTTAACAGAGAATTCCATGAGTTCTTTGCTTTGCAATCAGTCAGACCAGACACATCTGCTGAAAACATAAACACTTCTTACTGCCATCTACAAGGCCTGTTGTGGCCCTTGCCTGTCCCTCCAACTGCAGTCCATAGCATTCTTCCTCTCAAGTCTTGTCTTTTCTCTAGCAGGTTAGGCTCAATCCTACCCGAGGGCTTTTACACTCACTGGTATTCTACCTGACAGGCTTGTCCTTCCGTTCTATACCTGTGTCATTGGGCATTTACGTCTCAGCTTAATTAAACACTGTTTACCCCAAAGAGAGGCCTAGGGTGGACCCACTGGCCCTCTCTCGGGTGCCGCCTGCCTTTTGTCTTCACAGCATTCACCAAGTCATTGTGTAGTCTACTTGTTCATTGCCGTTGTTCAGTCAGTGACCCCAGGGAGGAGTCTTGTCTGTTTCATTCACCCGTACATTGCCAGTACCAATGCCGCCAGCGTGCTTGGCACTCTGAATAGGTGCAGATTGAATGGATGAATGAAATAAAACCCGAGGTGAGAGCCTTTTGATGGCCCCAGTCACTTTAATTTCTGTCTCCATCTCCCAGATGCCAGACTGGCTCTGCAACCTTCTGCCTATGCCTGTGCCAACCTCTAGTCAGACCACTCACCTACTCTGCAGGTGAATAAAGGAAGCCACAGCCTGCAGTGTCAGGAAGCTGCCAAACCCTGGGCTGGTAGAAAAAGTAGCTAGGCTCGGCGGACCCTACAGCTCTGCCCTTGCGTGTGCCCCCTGCACTGGGCTAAGTGTGGCATGGTGCTGCTGTGTCTTTGATGCTTTATTTACTTTAATATTCAGCCTCTAGCATGTTTGGTTCCCCTTTATCAAGGTCTCTACATCCAGCTGGGCACAATGGCACGCATCTGTAATCCTAGCACTCTGGGAGGGTAAGGCAGGACGATCAAGAAGGTCAAGCCCAGCCTGGACAACTTCGTGATCTAGCAAGACCCTGTCTCAAAATAAAAAATAGAAAAAGCTGGGTGTAGCTCAGTGCAGACACCCCAGTTCAGTCCTCAGTACCCTTCCCCCAACAAAAAAGAAAGTTCCTGCTTCCCTCCTTAGCGTTTTGAGATGTGAAGTAAGGCAAGGGCTCATGGTTCCGTGTTGCTAGGATCCAGTGTCTCCACCCAGGAAGCTGGCTTTCGCTCCTCCAGCTCACTTTGGACCCAGCCAGGTTTTCTGATTTATTTTACACACATGCTCATCTTGCACACTTGGCCATCGCGATGATAAGAGTCATGGAATCTTAGTGTCCAAAAGCAAGTCAAGTGACTGTTTTCATTCTTGTGTTATTTCCTTTGGCAGGCGAGAATTCTGCCACTGAGCCACCCATGCTGTGTAATTTCCTTTGATCTTCCAGCTCCTCCTGAGTGGTAGATGGTAGACAGATGAAATAACATCTTCATTCTGTGCTGGGGAAGTGAGGCCTCAGTGCCTTTCTTACTGTCCTGCTCTGCATCACCCCTCAGCCCCTAAGTCACAGGTTACTTTTTGCCTTGGGTTACATCCCAGGTCAGTAAAGCCTTTGGTTAGAGAGCTCAGTTTAAGGTTTAGGGAAATACTGTATAAAAATGGATTTGAACGTGTAAGATGTGGCCTGAACAAGTAGTATAGCTAAATGATTTTGGTCAAATCACTTAAATTCTTTTGTGCTTAGCCTTAAAATTGGTAATGTTAAAACTAATCATGGAATAGACATAAGGTTCAGATGAAATAATGTATTTGAAATTTCTTTGTAATCTTTAAATTACTATAAAGATGGGAAATTGGGAAATCCCTATTCTCAATGGGGCAGTCCTAATAATTTTTCATGTTAAACTTACTTTTCTAATCTTTGACTTTTACACAGCTGAGAACCTTTAAAATAGGTTTACTGGGTACAGTGATTGTCAAATCTATGGGTAAAAAGGCATTGGATAGGGTCTGGGGATTTAGCTCAGCGGCACAGCGCCTGCCTGGCAAGCACAAGGTCATGAGTTCGATTCCTGGTACCGGAAAAAAACCAAAACCAAAAAAAAAAAAAAAAAGGCATTGGATAATTGTGATTTGTTTGTTCTAAGGACCATTTTTATTGTCTGAAGAGCAATGGGGATGTCTAGCATATTAAAACAACAATGACATTTGTGTGTTCCCAGTCCTGTGAAGTGGAGCATGACTGGTGGATCTCAAACCATTTCACTGACGTTCTTACGCTGCCTGTTCTTGTATTTTACCTTCTGCTTTCCCTAGAAACAGACAAGCTTCTGTGGTCCCAGCATTTTAACATATGTAGAAAAGAGTGAATATTTTTCTCTGAAAATTTCGTGAAAGATATTTTGAACTAATTATTTTTAAATTATTGTTTTAAAAATAAAATATTTTCTCATTTTATATTTAAATTTAAATAAAATTTACTATTTTAGCCACTTTAAGTGTACAATTTAGTGGCAACCATCATGATGATCTAGCCACACTTTTTCATCTAGCAAAATTGAAATGCGATGCCTGTTAAACAATAATTCTTCATTTCTCCCGGTTCCGAGCCTCTGGCACCACCATGCCACTTTCTGTTTTTATGAATTTGACCGCTGTAGGTACCTCATATAAAGAGAATGATGTCGTATTTGTCATTTAAATTTTTTTTTTTTATTTTAAGGCGAATAACAACAAAAAAGAATATTAAGAATGCTACAGAATTACAAAACAAGATCAACAATGGTTGATCAACAATGGTTGTTATATTGCATATTGTTATCTTCAAAGTAGTTGTTTAGATTACCAGATATAGGCACACAAAATTGATCAAAAAAATTAAGCATTAACTTTTCTTTCACTAAACCAATAGAAATTAGTAGTACAATTATCTTGCTATCTTGTGTGTGTGTGT